CTGCAGTTTTACGTAGGGCTTTCAAAAGGGCACAGAGAATCTATTTGGTCTAGAAACAGACCAAAAAATTTGAACATCAAGAAAGTTGGTCCCTTGGAGAGAAGAGTTCATATTGGAGCAGATTTGATGGCAGGACTGGTGATGCTGTAGGGGTCCCATTCTGGAGCAGCCTCTCCTTCAAAGGACTGCACTGTGTGGGAGGGACTCCACACCGGAGCAGGGAAAGAGTATGAGGAGTGGCTTGGTGGTCATCTGGCATACAGATATGGTAAACCCACCACCTGCAGGGGTGGAGAATTTTCTGGTGTTTGTTGGCTGGGGTAAAGCTGATTTTCTTCACAAGAGCTGGTATGGAGGTATGCTTTGTGTTTGTGATGAAAACAGTGTTGATAATTCAGGGATGTTCTGGTTATTGCAGAGCAGTGCTTGCACAGAATCAAGGCCTCACCCCGCCACGCCATCAAGAAAGCTGGAGGTGCACAACAAAGTGGGAGGGGGCACAGCTGGAACAGCAGATCCCCACTGATCCAAGGGATGTTCTATACCACATGGCAACATGCTCAGCATCTAAAGCTGAGGAAGATCAAAATGGGAGGTGTTCAGAATGATGCCATTTTTCTTCCCAAGTAACCATTACACATGAGGTAGCCCTGCTTCCTAAGGGTGGCTGAACTGCCTCCCCATGGCAGTGGTAAATAAATTCCTTGTTTCACTTTCCTTGCATGCATGGCTTTTGCTTTAACTGCTAAACTGCCTTTGTCCCAACCTTTGAGTTCTCTCCCTTGCATATTCCCAATTCTCATCCTTGGCTGCATGGGGCTTAGTTGCTGGCTGGGGTTAAACCATGGCAATCCTTTCTAGCTGTGGGGACTAGTGTACAATGGGTTTCTCTTTGCCTGAGGTAGGAATAACCCACACAGTTTGCCTCAGCACATTTTTATTTGTGCTACAGGAATTCTATCCCCTTCTACAGTATGTAAACTTTTGACTGGTCAAGGCCAGTCTGATTCCCTAGTGTTCACTAACCAGACGGCCTTCACTAAATGCCAAATGCCAGTATTTGAAGACCCCACTATCCAGTGCTCTCAGTGTCATCTTTAACAATCCATTACACTGTTTGATTTTTCCAGAGGCATGATTAGGAATGTGATACACCCACTCAAATACCATGTTCTTTGGCCCAAGAGTCTATGAGACCGTTTAGGAAATGAGTTCCAATGATTAATTTCTTTCTGAAGTACTTTGTCCCGTAAGACTTGCTTCTCAAGTGGCAGTGGCATGCAGCACAGGGTATGTTTCCAGCCATCTGGTGGTTGCTGCCACCATTTTAAGAATGTGGCTCTTGCCATCGCAGGTTTGCAGGAGTGTGATACAGTCAATATGCCACACATCCTCATGCTTACATTTCAGACACTGTCCTCTGTACCAAAGACGTTTCAACAGCTTGGTTTGCTTAATTGCAGTGCATTTTTCACATCCATGGATAATGTCTCTGCCTAAGTCCACTCCTCAGCCATGAGCCCACCTCTAGACTTCATCTCTTCCTTGGTGTCACAAGGTGTCGTGGACCCACTGAGATAGTAATAACTCATACTTACATTGCCAGTCCAAATCCACCTGAGCCACTTCAGTCTTGGCAGCTGCTGGTTATTCTTATGTACTTCAGTGGCCTGACTCTTGCGTAATATGAGCATCTACATGACACGCCTACACAATCAGATTCTCCACAGAGGCAGCAGTATTTTACCACAATGTGGCAGCCCTGATGAGCTTAGCCCCATGCTGCCAGTTATCCTGCTTCCATTGCTGCAGCCAGGCCCACAGGGCACTTGCTAGCACCCAGAAATCATTATAAAGTGTTGACTACTTTTCCTATTCAACAGCATCTAAAGCCAGCTGGATGGCTTTGACTTCTGCAAATTGATTTGATTCACCTCCTTTAGTAGTTTCTGTGGCTTGTAGAAGGGGACTCCAAACAGTGGCTTTCCATATCTGATGCCTTCTCACATGATGGCAGGATCCAGCAGTAAAGAAGGCACACTGCTTCTCGCAATCTGCTCATTTATTATACAGTGGGGCATTATCAGGTAGCATGTGCTACCTCCTCCTCAGATGAAGTTCCAAAATCTTTGTCTTCTGGCCAGTTCATGATCACTTACTTCTAAGATTCCTGAATGACTGGGGTTTCTTATTTGAACTCATCATATGATCAGTGTGACCCAGTTACTCTATGTAGCATCATCTGCATGATGTGCAGAGGAACATCCAATCCAACATGGGTAATCAGGATGCCAGGAGAAGCACCTAAAAATATGGATCTCCTGTGCAGGTCCCCTCACTCTATTTTGTTTTATGGCAAAACTGGCTTTCAAAAGGATTTGGACTACTTTCTTCCCTTTCTCAAAAACTTTTTTTGCTATATTGCCCTACACAATGGTATCATCAATGTACTGCAGGTTTTCTGGAGCTTCACCCTGTTCCAGTGAGTCTGGATCAGTCCATGGCAGCAGGGTTTGTTCCCACCTCTGGGGCAGTTGATTTCAGGGGTACAATGATCCCTCCAAGTGGAAGCCAAATGTGCCCTGCACTCTGCCACCAAAGGGGCTGAGAAAAGGCATTGGCAGTGGCACCTGTGGCACAGCACTTGGCTGCCTTTGCAGTTCATATGGAAGTTCAGCACATCTGGTCCAGTGTCACTGGGCAGTGGCACCAGAATTACTTCATTCATAAGATTCCCTGCTGATTTCTTCTACAAGTGGACAAGACCTTCCTTCCATAGAGTCAGTACTATAACCAGCCCTTCCATTTTGCTCACTGTTGTGTATGGGATTCCTCTGAATCAGCAAAGCCTATATTTTCAAAGGGAAATTATAAATTTTATTTAAGGAAAGCTGGCACACATTGTTTATATCCAGTGGCATCTATCTTCATATCTTGAATATATGTCATTATTTCCCTTTTTTTTTTCAGTAAGAAAAAATTTCTGCATAATTTTTACAGCTTTTCTTCCAGTTTAATATTTTTTTCTTTTTTTTTTTTTCAAGGGAGCATTTAGAAAGACGCTGCTAGATCAATTCTTGTATCTTGTAAGTGAATCCACAGAAGAACAAAATGCCAGGTAAGTTCAGCCACCTCTGCAGAATGGTCTGTGGTGACAAAATTAAATGCACCACGACTTCTACAGCCATAAAATGGGCAACAACAGAATTTGGGTAAGTCATCAGAGTATGATCATCAGAGTATGAAAGCTCAGCTAAGTCCTACCCTTCTGCAGGACACTGCATTTACTATCCTCAATCAGATGTCCTCAGGATTTTTTCTTTCACTCGAGAGCAGCCATGAAAATCGAATGTTCTAAAATAAAGGCACTTGTCTAACATCTGGTAACAAGCACAGGGGACCCATGCTTATTTACCAATAGGAAGCCACACCACGAGAATACATTTACACCTGCTTTAAGAACTAACAGCAGAAGTAAATCATTTGAGAATGATTGATTTTATTCACATGTTGGATTGTTCATTAAAAAAAAAAAGTAAAAAAGAAAAAGAAACCAAGAATGCTGCTATGGTAATAAATCTTTTAAATCCTTTAAGAGAATTAAGTTCTACGAATTCTGTCATTTGAGATCTAAATGCTTTCTGGTATTTTCTACAAGCAGGATAAATGTAAGCAAACACATAACAACATTTTGATGTCAGTGTCTTGCATCTGATATTATTTCATGTAAATCTCTGAGGCACTGCTTTGTTTTATGCAGTATATTCAGAAAGTGCACATTTTGGTATTTGTGGAAGAAAGTCAGGTTTCAATACTTTTATGCCTTTTAAATAGTGCACTGTTGGCTAACTAGAGTTTCTCAATACTCGACATGTTAGATCAATGGAGAAATAGCCTAAGTTTTGTTTTCACAATTTCATCATCAGATAATGATTTTATAATCAAGTATTTCTTTCAGCTGAAACATGGGAGCTGAGTGGGTATGTAAAGCCTCCTCTTTGAATGCCTTTTCCACATCAACCTGATAGAGTTTAACTGAAGAGTTAATTTAAGTGTCTCTGCACTAGGTGGATTCTATACACAAGAATCCACATTCTTCTTGTGTTTCAAATCTATTTTTATTGCCTCCACAGCCCCCATACCAGAACTGACCACACATTTTCTGCTCTTTGTCGTAGTACCACTTCAAAATGTAATTCTGACATTCTCCACTATCTTGAACAAGGTCACATGCATCTGGAAAAGGGAAATAAGAGACAGATTTAATAAAAGAAAAATCTGCCCTTCTCAGCATTGTAAATTCAGGGGAAAATAATGTTCAGTGCAAACTGTTAGACAAAAGGAGTAGCCAGTGTTCAAGGTCTTACACTAAGTATTCATCTATAACTCCACAGTGACAGTGTGAAAACCCTCTTTTTATGACTGCTTTTCCCAGAGACAATGTCTGAAACTAGATTTTTCATTGCCATAACAGAAGGCCTGCTAAAAGGTGTTTAGTTTTTTAACAAAAAGTTTTTTTAATGATTGTAAAATAACTATACCTGGTCCATAGAAACTAGGAGAATAAACTTTTTAATAATTCCCCTCTTCCTTATTCCAACTTCTTATACTGGTATCCATCAATAAAATTTCATAAATTAGTATACATAGGTTGTTAAACTATCCATGGTAGTCTCTTAGCCAAATCCAAAAGTATTACAGCTTTAAATTGCATAAATTAGCAAAGTAGGTGAGAGAAGCATACTTAATAGCAAGCTGGTATTCGGTGAGAACAGCTCTAATGATCTTTCACCAATGTAAATTCAGAGTTACTCAAAAGAAGACAGAAAGGCAGCTCTAGACTTTGATGTCAGTACAATATTAAAGAGGAAGAACGGAGAAATAAAGAAATATAATGATACAACTTAAAGATTTAAAATTACATTACCCTCTCCTACGCAACGGAAAAGCAAAAATCTCAAGCAAGAGATGAGCACAAAGCACATCTCTCAAAAAGCAAGCTCTGGAGCTGGGCTACATGTTTTTTGAAGTAAACTTTTGGGTCACTAATTACAATACAGGATTGGGGACGACAGTTCATACAGCTCTCATAAATGGCTTAGGTAGTTTCTTACTTAAGTGCAGTGACCATGACTACTTCATCAAAGGAAATATTTTATTAGTAAAGTATAAACAGTAACATATCTTCCTGTTACTGATCCTCTCTCATCCTGAATGAGGCTACAATTCCAGAACTATTCTTGGGTGGAGAGGGATGAAAAACGAAGGGATAACATCAATATAAATGAACAACCGCACTCAAATCTACGCAGACACCTTTTCATTTATTTTCACATAAATTATCTCTAATTGTAGTTTAAACAATAAATTCACTCAATAGTGTTTTAAGAACGTTGGTGCCAAATAATCTCACAATCAGCTTCCCATGCCTATATCTAATGGCAAATCTGCAATGAAAAATGCACCATTACAAAGTACAGTTAAAAACATGAAGAATATATATTTTGATACCTCTGCTGATGGATCCTGTTCTTCCTACAGGAACAGACTGTAGCAGAAATATAATTAATTCCTCCATGTTGAGCTAAATTAGCAGCAGGAGTTACTAATTACAGAGCAACTTGGGGATTTTAAAATTATTGGCTATTTTAGTAAGGGGGATTAGAACTTTATATGATATTGTTACAAAATTCATAAATCAAAACTGAAGTTATAATGACACCTGTAGTTCAGTCTTTAACTACTATATAGTTTTGGACTAAATACTAACATGTGATGACTAAAACCTTTGAAAAAATGTAGCTGGAAATCCTTCATCATGTAAAAATATTCAATTGAGTCCTTCACAGTTTAGTCTTTTTACTAAATTAAAAAAGATTTTCATATTCTAGAATCATACCATAATCATTACAGCCACTTCTAGTTTCTGCTGTGGTCTCTAAGTTTTTCTTGTTCTTCTCCTGAGCTTTTCCACACTCTTGAGGCTTTTCCCTTTTAGCATTTTCCTCTGTGAAATACGCATTCTCCTCATAATCATCTCTCATTTCTGGCACTCTGTATACAGGCTCTTTGGTGTTCTCTTTCATCCTCTTCATGACTCTACTTTTATTTTTTTCCGTGTCTTCTAAAACTTCACTGGAACCACTTTCAGCCATTCCAGGAAAAGGTATTCTTCCAAGGAGAGAGGGGGGAAAAAATTTTAGCACCAATATGACCTTTCATTCCTTCTGAAAAACATGAAAAAACTTTTGACCCCAATCCCATTTTTGTTAAAACTACTTTGAATGTAACAGCTAACCCAAAGGGATAAATCTTACATTCAGAGGTATGCACTCAAGAAGTTAAATAGGAATTTCCAACCTTTCAGTCACGGATGCTTCCTGTTGTATGTCTCCCCGATCTAAATTTTCACACTCTTCTTGAAGTTCAGGTGAAGGATAACTGTTCATTTCTTCTGTGAGAAAGCACAGGTGGCAGGAGTGAGTTTTAAAGTCCTCAAAAGTAGGATTAATAAAAACCACTACATGGCTGTTTTTGTGAACTGGAGTTTGCATCTTTCAATAAGTAACACACTATATTCAGAGTGACTGACACTGTGCCCAGAAAAATGAAAAATATTATAGATATCAGATAGATGAGAATGACTCCTGAACCAACCTTTTATATTTTGTCTTACTCTTTAATACACTATTTATCCTTCTATAGAAACTTTGACATCTCTAATCATATGCTTATGATGAGAATTTTAAGTAAATGGCAATTTCCTTTTTGCTATTCTCTTGTTTCCATGTCAAAGTATCTAAGACTAAGCATCTTCATGAATGTGTCTTGAAAAGTAAGTCCTGTCTCTGCTCTGTAGAGAAGTTAAGGTCAAATGTGCAAAATATTTATCTTGTACCTGTCCCAAAACCTAAATAGGTATAAACAGCTCAGTAGATCTGGACTTGTCAATGGTCTGAGGAGAAATGTGGGCCTAAATCAGGAACATGACAGTGTTCTCTTACCTGAAGAATGGTCTGTCTTTAGTGAAAGTGGAGTACACAAAGCCACACATTAAATAAAAACTTAAGGACATAGACTGCTTTAGAATAGAATGCTGCTCTGTCATTACTGGCACCTTTATTCATGTCCAGCATCTGAGGTAAACTAATCATGAACCATTAGCAGCAAAGTTATGACCAGGAACTGAATGATAGCACATATACACTGACTACACAACATTTGTCTTTTTTTCCACAAGTGAAGCAAATGCTGCTGTGTGATACTTACGTTGTAGAAGATTTAGGAATGCCCGGCTAAACCTCTGAGCATACACCATCTCTGGGGTGGCAAACCTGCCCAGTGTCAGTGAGTGCTGATCTGTGGGGGAGCTGGACAGCTCCATCAGCTGACTGCCACTCACATCACTGCCAAGTGCAAGAGTGAATAAGGTGAACCCTTGGCACTTGGCTCCGAGTGAAATCTCTCTCAGCCTTTCTCTGTCCCATGTGCTTGTTTTGCTTCCGACTATTGTAAATATGACCCTGTGCTTTCTTTGTCTGGGGGCTTTAAAGAATACATTTTCAACTGTCCACTGTAGAGCAGAAGCAATGGCTGATGGCCCTTCCAGCTGGTGAACAGACTCTTGGATGTGTTTCTTCATCAAATCTTTATTGCTGTATGTGACTAGGTCAAACTCCAAGGCCACAGGTGTCTGGTTTCTGTCAGGCAGGAAGCCCCTGGGAGCCTGCTGCACCAGTGCCACTCTGATGCCTCCATATGATTCATTTGGCTGTGAGGAAACGACAAACTGATCCACCATGTTGCTCACAAAGTCTTTGGCTCTCTGAAAGTCTTCACTGCTAATGCTGCGAGAGCTGTCCATGACGTAAGTTATATCCATATCCATCTGAACCGCGGGAGAAAAAGGCACCTCACAGTTGGTTCTTGGATTGCATTTATCTAAAGAGGAAGACCAAATAGGCGGTGAACTATTTAACAATACAACAAAAGCAATGATTTATAAAAATTTCACATAGTCCTGTAGATCTGTATTAGGTTTGTATGGCCATGTTTTGGTAGTGGGGGGCACTACAGGGGTTGCTTCTGTAAAAAGCTGATGGAAGCCTCCTCCTCATGTCCAGCAGAGCCAATGCCAGCCAGCTCCAAGAGAGACGTGCTGGTCAAGCCAGTTAGAAATGGTGGACATGCTTCTGTGATAACATTTAAGAAGAAGACAAAAAAATGCTATTGTGCAGATTTAAGTGTGGGCAGAGAAAAGCAAAGTGAAAATATATGAGAGAAACAACTATGCAGACACTAAGGTTAGTGGAGAAGGTGGAGAGGAGGTGCTCCAGGTACTGAAGCAGAGATTCCTCTGCAGCCCCTGGTGAAGACCATGGTGAGCTGTGCCCATGCAGCCCATGGAGATCCATGGGGATGCAGAGATGCAATTGCAGCTTTTGGGTGAACCCCACAGTAGAGCAGGTGGACGCCTGAGAAGAGGCTGTGAACCTGTGGGAGGTCCATGCTGGAGTTGGCTCCTGGCAGCGACCTGCAAACCCATGGAGAGAGGAGCCAAGGCTGGAGCAGGTTTTCTGGCAATACTTGTGACCCTGTGCCTGAAGGACTGCATCCCATGGAATAGTGACCCATGCTGCAGCAGTTTAGAGAGGACTCTTGCCCATGGGATGAACTCACATTGCACCAGTTTGCAGAGAACTGTTACTCCTGGGATGGACTCCTGTTGAAGAAGTTCATGAAGAACTATCTCCCACGGGAGGCACCCCTTGCTCTCCCTGAGCACTGGCAGAAACAATGTGTGATGAACTGACTATAAGCCCCATTCTCCATCTCCCTGTGCTGCTGGTAGGGAGACAGTAGAGCTGAGAAGGCAGGAGTGGGGAGGAAGGTGGTTTTAAGGTCTAATTTTACTTTTTGTTAGCCTGCTCTTGTTTTGTTAGTAATAAATTCAATTAATATTTGTAATTCAAGTTTGTTACAGCTAATGAAGAAGTAATGTAACTTCAATGGGTTCAATGTATCTTACCATCCAATTGCTGGTGGGGCACCTACACATCGAGACCCTTTCCCTCAATCCCCAGGGAAGTAACCACAGAACCTGCATCCAGGCCCTGGGGAGAGATCTCCCAGAGTTTCAGTGTGTGTGTGTAGAAGGCTTCTGCCTCTGTGATAACTCTGTGTCTTTTACAGTTTGTTAAACAGTGTCTTCCAGTCAAGAATATTTCCTGCATCTCTTCCCACATCTGTTCTCCAGACAAAGCTGATGATTCTTAGCTGAGGCCTGAGCCCTTTTGGAACCAGAGATAACCCCTTGCTGGGCCAATCAGCCTCTAGGTTATCTCTTTATGGACCAACTCTCTATGGTAGAGAGGAGGGGGTGTAGAAATCCTGCTGCAGCTCCCAAATTGATTAGAGGTTTTTTCATTTGTTTTGTTTGTTTGTTTTTTTGGTTAGTTTGTTGGGGGTTTTTTTGTTTGTTTTGATTTTTTTAAGATCAAAATTTAAGAAAAATAAAAAAAGCTTTTGTAGTGGGTTGACCCTGTCTGGATGCCAGACAATCCCTCCACAGCTGGGCAGGGGATAAGGAGATAAGGACAGAGAGATCACTCATCAAATGCTGCCATGAATAGGTACCTTTAACTTCATGCTGTATACATCTACTAGTAGTTTCTTTTTTTGTCCTCATTCCTGTGTCATATTAGTTTGGTTTAAGTCTTATAACTCTTAGTTTTCTGTCTATTACTTAAATAATTAATTCTATAATAGACCAAATCAGCCATTATTAAAGAACTTGTGAATGAGAGTGGATTTTTTTTCTGGCTTCTTCAATAATGCTATTGCCTGCTGCCAGAGGCCTGGGCAAAAGGCAAGGACTTTTCTAAACCCCTACTTCCATTTGTAACAGGAGCTTGAAATATTTTTTGTTCTAGTAAGGAACAACAGATGAGTCTTGCTGAAGAAGGTTTTGAGGTACCAGGGGAAATTATTCATGCATAAGAGCAGAAAAACATTCATAAGGAAAAATTTCATAGATAACAGTTCCCTGGAGAAATTTTCTTCTGTTGAAATCTGAACATTGTAAAGGACACAGAATCAAACTCTATTTTTTCATCTCAGATCATTGTTCAACATTTTGACATATTATCATTTGGTAGCTTCTCCCCCTCTCACAGCATAGCATTTACAGCAAATGAGCCTGCCTTCCAAAAATCATATTGCTATTTTAAGTGCATTTCTGTTATAAAGGAAATGCTAAACACAGAAATTCATTTCACATGGCTGAGACAGAAATTAATTAAACAGCTTTTGTGATTTTGAGATTCTATTTCTTAACATCCACTGAAAAGGAAGTTAAAATTGTAACTCCTCACCAGTGGTATTCTGTAACCACAAAATGATCTGTCACAAAGGGTAAGAAGGCCCAGTTGCAGAAGGGTTCATCTGGCTGGAATGTTGAGACAGAAAAAGGAATAAAGTTTCCTCTTTAAAGGAGTGAAGTTTCTCTTGGAAATTATAAGAAACAGGCACAGCACTGTCTTATAGCCATCCTAGAATGGGAACACTCAGACATCCCTATGGGCTGCAGAGCTGAGCTGAGTTGCTCCATGCAACCAACCACACTGTTCTAAATACATCTCTGCAAACTCCTTGTAGGACCATTTATGGCAGTCAGATTCTGACCAGTGCACACTTCATTAAAATTTTTCTTTCATATTTATGCACAGGTGTGTTTAAGGTGTACCAGAAAAATTCCCACCACCACATTGCAAAAAAACCAAAAAAAGCTATAGAATTTGTTTTTGAAATGGTAAATAGACAATACAACAGATGCAATTTGCAAAATGTCTTACCAAAGCACAGTGTACAATATGTGATGGCCTCCAAATTTTCGTCTTGTTGTCTTTCCCAAACAAATAACTGAAATCTTCTTGTGTCATCAATCTGTGTTTTAAAGCAGACACAAAAGCAACATTATGCAGAATGATGAAATATATGAAGACTCTCTTTTTTCTTTTTTTTTCTGCCAGGGAAGGATTATCACTTTTTTCTTTTCTTAATAGGGTGCTATTTTTCTACAGAGGAAAGGGCAGAATTCTCAGCTTTTTCTGGGACAAAGAGTGAATATGATTTCTTGGAGGGAAAGTTCTAGCATTAGAAAGTTCTAGCATGAGAGTGATCTATGTGTTTCCTGGGATCACCTGAAGAAAGACAATCTTTCACAGTGGAAGATTTGACCACAGAAATGCCTGAGGAGCCCGGAAGATGCTCCAACATTCTACAGTTTCACTGACCACCATCCAACCCCATCCAGATGTGATCCAATGGAAAAGCATTTCCTTGTGGACTAAAATAAAAATGGCTCTAAAATATCACAGTATCACAGGAAATGAACATATATGAATAAGCTATAATGGTAAGCAAAGAAATAATTACTTCTTTGCATTAAACTTTGGCTTTGTGTGTTATACACCACACAATTAATTTCTGGTTAAAGTCTGTAAAGAATGTTACAGATAGAACTGTTCAAGAGAATTAGAATTGGCAATGGCTGCACGTGGTCTCTAAACTGAAGCTCCTGAAGCAAAGTAAAGACAGCAAATATCTGTGGCTACAGACTTGTAGGATCATAGAGATTTACACCACCTCTCAATTGCAAGGGTAGAAGTCCATCTGAAAGGAAAAGGGAAGTTGTATTTACTTGGGGGTGGTGGTGAGGTTGGCTGCCTTGCCAGCACTGTAAACTTAAAGGAGTGCTGGGCAGTGAATTTTTTGCCTTTCCCATGCTAAGCAGCTCTTTTAAACTCTTCTACTCTGAAGACAGATTTATGTTAAGTTACCAGATGTCAACACATGCATCCAAAGCTGTAATCTGCTTATACTAAGTAAAGAAAATACTGATTCTTGCTCCTGTTTATCCTGTGGAACAACCCAGGCAATAAACCACAAGTTTCCTTCTCATGTGTCAGCAGAAATTTTTCATTCTGCTAAATTATCATTTAGTCAGAAAAATACATGAATCAACTAATAAATATGAGGCTGCATGAGAATAAATATAGCATAAATAATAAAGGACTGACTTAGATGTTGCTAAATTAGAACTTACACTCCAAGTTTTGCACTTTTTATCATGTACAAGTAAACATATTTCCTTTTAGAAGGACAATTTTGAGGAAACAGCAGCTGGAATGAATTTTACTTTGATAAAGTTAAAACTGAGCACAGATGATATTAAAATAAATTGAAAAGATGGAGAACATGCAATCTATATTATGAAACCTTAAATAAATATAGAATTGCTTTCCTTTTGTACCTCTTAAAATGGACTGTTAATTTTTTACTATCTTTTAGATGAAGTCATATTTTAAAACAAAATTTCATAATTTTCTCCTGTACAAATGGCAATAAAGATATCAAGAGGGGCTTTGCTAATTTAATTTTCTTTTGAAAAAACAGAAGGCATGCTTGAAGCTTTCTACTAATTTTTCTAGAAACTAGAGCCAGAGTTTGTTAGTTAAATTTTTATTATTTGTTACAACTTCAGAAATATAAAGGCATAGGCAAATAAGTGAAATTAACAGAATATTATGGAAATTTTCTGATTTTCTCTAAAAGTACAAGACATTAAAAATTCATGTTCAGAAAAAGGTCAGACGGTGATCACTATGGTCGAGTGAATCACTGCTGCTCTGTTAAAATTGTAATCTTTAATGTACCCCTTTCTAGTAAGGGATTGGACTTTGGCTGGAGAACAAGATTCACTCAAACCCTAGCAGATACTCAGCAAGTGGGTGAGTGACTCAGTTTTCAACAGGCTCTACTTACAGAGAAGGCATGTCTGACATTTGGCACCTCACTGAAGGCAATAACCACTGGAGTGATATCCAAGGCACTCAACTCAAGCACAGCTGTGCTGATGGCTACATCATCCTGTGATGGACCATTGGCAAAAAACAGGGCAACTTTTCTTGTGAGGATGCCCTGACGAACACGTTTGAAGACATGTCTTGCAACAAATCTCATGGCTGCCCCAATATTTCGTTTTCCACTGGATCTCTCTAGTGGGATGCTCTGGATGGCTTGTAGCAGCAAGTTGTTCTTTTGGAATTCAGAGAATCGGATGAGGTAGTGCATGTTGGTATTGAAAGAAACAACAGAGACACGAGCGCCTGTTGGGCAATTGCTTTCACTGATCTTAATGGTCTTCAGCAATAACATAACAATGTTCCTCATTCTTTCAAATGCAGCTGGTGTAACATCATCAGACATATCCAAGGCAAAAACCACTTCAGTTGGATAAGCTGGGCATGTGTCTGTATATCAAAGCAGAAAAGTTATATGAGAACCTTTCCACAACTCAAACATTGTTAGTTTCTTCTTCAAATCTATAAAATAATGAATATTCAGAGATCAGGTGGGCTTACCTGATGAGCATGCTGGAAGGAAGAGAGGAAGAGCAATTAAATTATTTAGGACTAATATGCATTAAAATAGTGACTTATTCACTCGCTTTCAATGAAGAGCCTGGCCAAAGTTCAGACAACTGACAGTCTGTCAGTGCAAGACCACATTCCTCTTTTACAATCAAATAGTCAAAACAGTCCAGTTTTACTGGATAAGAATTTTAAAAATTATCCTGAGTTCAGCTGAGCACACATATCTGAGAATAAACACGCCTAATCTGGGGGACAGCTGATACACAAATACTGTATTTTCTCAGAGAGCACCCCAAAGGGTGTTGGCACAATGACAAAGATTTGTTTAATCTTTTATGAGGAAGATATATTTGTTAGAATTTTTGTAATAAACTGATAGGAAAAAATAAGCAAAAAGCATAAGTCTGCTTCATACACCTGCTGAAACCCCTTACAATTAACAACTACCAGTTAAACTGAACCCAGATAAAATCTACCAGTTTATAGGGTTTCCAATGAAGGCTGTTCCATTCAGGAAGAGTGACTAGGTGAAATCAGAGGTAAAAGAAAATGTTCCCCACTTACGGCAGTTTTTTCGGGTAAAATTCACAAGTTCACAAGGCTGCAGGTTCGAAATTTAAAAAAAGGAATTAATGGCAAATCCCAGACCACCCCAGACTGGGAATCTTAGAGTTGGTTTGAGCTGAAGGTTTTATCCCAGCTCCTAAAAGAACTTTCATTACAATAAATCCAGAACCACAGAGTCCAGTCCCTTTTTATAACAGACAGTATAGGGACTCTCTACTCTTGCTGCAGAAACTAGGCACATTTTTTTTGGACGTGCTCTGTTGGCACTTAATGATGTTCTGAAGCATCAAAACAATCATTAAATTCTTTATGAATGAGTGCCATCTACTCTTTATTTTGTAGTGAACTGATCTAAGATATCATCAGTCAATGGCACTTCCATAAACAATGGGCATTCCAATAGTGACTCACATAGGAAGTGAGAAGCCCATGAAGGAGGAGAGATGTTCTCTGGACATAGAACACACCTGCAATAGTTCTGCCTGCAGGTAGTCATCCATGCAAGGATTAATGAAGCCTTTAATCAGAAGTGTTCCTTTAACATGGGATTAGGATTCTGAAGAAATCCTGCACTGTAATTCTCAGTGAAAATAACTGTTGCTGAGGAAATGCCTTCCTTTACAAGAAGAGAAATAGTAACCCTAATATGAGCTATTGTGTAAACTGATACGAGTGAAGAAACAGATAAATGAATATTAATTGTCCAATAGTTTGTAAAAGTTTGGACATGGTGTTAATCCACATGCATAAATGTTTCTCATTCCTTGGTTGCTTGCAGAATGGAAGAACCCACTGCACACTCTGACAAGCACATGGAAAAGATACTATTTTATAACAGCTAACTGTGCTCATTGCTGTCAGTGATTATCAATAGAAACTAAACCAGATAATTCCATGCAGTATAGTTAGCTGTAAGGTGATTACTTACTTCCATTAAAATGGTGCCCACCGGTCCCTTGGCACCCTGAAACAAATTAAACATAAGTCAAAAAAATCAGACCCTGCTAATGTGTTCCCATGTATTACTCTGTAGCCCAAAGAAAATGCAGGCAAACAGTGTTTCCCAGCAATCATTTATGAATTTGAGAGGAGACAGCAGTTCCCTGCATAGATTTCTGTGGACCTGCCCAGAGCTGCAGGCTACTTGTCAGATTTATTTTTCAGTCCATTTTCCTTAATGGTTTTTAAATGTTCAATACTTGCTGCTCTTGGGGAGCAGTATAATTCAGAATTGGGTTCCCTTATAAACAGCAGTTTCTGTGCTATGGTTCTGTTATTTGCACTTCACATATTTTCCAACATCTGGTGTGTGACAAGCTTTCTCTCTCCTCTTTTACATTACAATCCCCACAGTTCTACCTTGAAAAATCCTGCAGACCATACACACATCATGACACCTTTGCCTACTCTGCAACTTTCTCCTTGGGAGCTGTGGAAAAACAACAGCACTCCAAGTATCTTTTTTTTTCGAAATAAAAGTATTGTTTAATCTTCATAACAGGAACGAAATATAGGTAGAATAACTAATTTTCAAGGGAGCTTGAGTACTCATCATGTGTGCATTTCAGATGCATAAAAAGACTACTGAAAAATTTGCCTTACTCCCATGGAGCTGCAGTGAGATACAGCAGGAAAATTTGAACTCTCCATCCAACTTCTTTTCCTCACCCTCTCTCTACCATAACACTACAGTTTACCAAAATGGTATACTTCCTTACATCTCCAAATTACAGCCCTGTCCCCATATTTGTTCTTTCCCCTTTTAGTTAACCTTCCATTCCTCCATCTGCCTGAGCTGCCTTCCTCACCTTCTCTGCTGTCTTGCTGCTAGCATCATCACTGCCATTCCATGCTTTTTTCTTCTTATGTTTCCCAGCAGGTTCATGTTCTTTGGTACTGTTCAGCAAGAGTTAACTGTGAATTGCCTGGGGCCTAAAGAATGCTACTGATAGCAAATCAGTGGTGGTGTCACGTCAGTGGTGCAGACTTGACACATATGGATAACCAAACCACCAAGGATGGATGAAACAAGCCTGTTTTGGCTGGCTCTGTCTACCACCTGTACATGTTCCTGCTTTCCTACCTCTTACACCTCTTACAGGGTTTCCACTTTCTCATTTCACTGATGCACTGCTACAGCAATAACCCCACCAAGCCCACACACCCCAAGCTCTATTCTCACCTGAAGAGGAGATCTTGAACTTGAAATACCTCTGAAGATTTCTTGGACCATGGACTGGCAAAGCCCACAGCTGTGGCTCATCAACTCACAAGATCTATCTGTAAATTTTGTGAGTGGCCAAGCAGCAGAGAGGGTAATGAGCTCCAGCTGGCACTCTTAACCATTCTTGTGCCCAGCATCATAGAATAAATTGGGACAGGTACATTCATTAACCAATACAGTGTAATGAGAAGGGAAAAAATTGTTTACTAAGACATGCGCATCCTGTGATCCAGGTTATTCAGGTAAAGACAGTGTTACCAACAATGTTCCACATATAAATGGAAAGAGTAAGCTTAAGAAAGTTTAACAAGAAAATCATTAGCAGTAGGGATTGTTTCTGGTCACTAGGGAGCTAATTTTCAGAATTGCCGCAGGATAAAGATAGACACATACAGGGATTTTCCTAACTACTTAAAGGGTTAGTCCTAAATCCTATTGAAATCCTTAATCCTTTCACCTGCTTAGATAGAGAATAAAACATTTTGTTGCTTGAAATGCAGAACACAGACACTGGAAAGTACATCAAGACATCTGGTTGTATTATGGATAAACAGGTTATAGTCAATTTAAGATTTAAATAAGTGCCTGCAACTGCAAGTTTCATTTTACCTGGCTTTTCTTTAAAAAAATAAAAGAGCATTGGCATTCAGCAGACCTATTCAGTTCTATATTTCAGTATTCTCTGTTCTTTCAATTAGATATGCACACAGCCTGAAGAAAATACCAAATACTGTGGAAGAAATTCTCGCCAGCATTGTATTGTTGCAATTTCATTTCCAGCAGCAGGTGCTCCTGTGCACACACATCCACAGGCATAACTCTGTGCAACTGCCAGGCTGATTAAACATAGTTTACCATGTGAAACACTATTAGATATTCCACTAATCTAATAGTAATTTTAAGAGCAATTTTAGGGTGATTTTTTTAAAAATAAAAAATTTACTTAAAAAAAAATTACCATAGGTCCTGATGGCCCTTGGTCACCTGGATCTCCCAGGGAACCTGGTGTGCCAGAATTACCCTAAAAATAGAAATAAATTATATTATTCTTTATAATTGCATGCACAGGTACCAAACTTCATCAAGGGAAAAAAACCCTCTGTAATGATACTTTGAATTCAATCCTGCATTTTCATAAAGATAGTCTACCACTCCTAACAATTATTAGCAACTAACACTTCTGAAGATTTTGACCAGCACTTTCTCAAGACTTTCTGCCTAAATCATGGCAATAAAAGATCAGAGTGGTAACAAATTTAAAACTTTTGATAAAAACCACTTTTTGTGTACGGGTTTCACTTTAAGAACTCTCACAGAGTTAGCAGATTTATCATTCTTACTCTTCTACCCCTAATTCCTTTGGGTCCTTCAGCTCCTGGAATGCCCTGATCTCCTTCTTCTCCCTGAAAATAGATTAAATCCAGAATTTATTGGAAAGGAGAAGACAAACAGAAACACAGGCAACCTTTTATAAAGAAGAATAATGTAAAACAAGACAAAAATAAATGAAACACGCCCATTTAGTCATACCTCTGGACCAGGATATCCTATGAATCCAGATTCTCCCTATGAAAAGAAAGGACAAAAACTTCATAAGAATCTAGAACTTTGTGATCTGGTTAGTGTTTGATGCCTTTAAACAAAAAACATTTTCAAAATTATTCTCAGCTTTACAACTTGTCCAAGCAATAGTGGCTGCTACTCTGGTCTCGAATTACATAATTTTAGATTAATACCTTGTTCATCTACAGGAAGGGTATTTTAAGAATTTCTATCAGTTTCTAAATTTTTCACGAATATTCCATTTCTCAAGTAAGTGTTTTATCATAACTTATTCATGCCTCCTAATAACATGCAGAGGAATTTCCATGTAGCATGCGAATTCAGATTCAGAACTCAGTGTCTGAATGTAGTTTCAAAATTTTATACTACCCAGACTAAACAATGATACCATAATATTCCCTTGGCTTACTAGAAGTCAATTCATTAACTGTTTTCAGTTACTTCAGTTTCTAGTGTGTTCTTTGTTCACCCATGAGAAATAGGGAAACTCTCACCAAAACCAATCAGAAGTGAAGTGTATCTTTTCTAAACATTGGAATTCACACTACTTATATATTTCCTTGTCCTCTTGTATATAACTCATGTGTAACCTATAAAACCCTGCCATCAAAGAAAACTGTTAGAGCTAAGAAGGTAAGAAAAGAGATTGGAAAATAAGAAGTATCAAGAGCCACTTTACCAAAGAGCCATTTAAGAAAAAGGAGTTCATCTGTTGGAGAGGCTCCTAGAAAGCCTTTCGTATCTTTTCTGCAGCTTTCTGCAGCACTCTGATTCTCTCACAGAAAGGGAGAGTGAAACAGATGGGCCTACCAGTGAGATTCACTGGACCCTTTCTGTTTCACAAGCAACAAAAAGGGACTAGTGTTGCAATATTGCACAAACTCTTTGAAAGGAGATCTGCAGCTGTTTCCAATATCCTGACCACTTTGTTCATGGACTGATCCACTGGAACCATGATTTTTACTTCATACTTTCTGTATACTTTTTATTTGAGCCGAATTCTTGTACAATTTTAGAAAAGAAGGCATTTCATTACTTTTTTTTTCAGCACTGTGAAGGGAATTATAAGAATTTCTTAACAATCCAGAGGTTAATCCTCAGATCTTACTGCTGACAGTAGAAACACAAGGAAAAAGTTCACATGAAAACAGTGAGGATGTTTGGAGAGTATCACCCCCACCTTGGTAGTTAGGGAATCCCTCCTCTGAAACAAGACAAATTAAAAGAGCCCATAGTGTCCAGCCCACCAACACTTGTCAAGAGCAATGTTCAGTCAGGCAGGCTGAAGTGGGAAGAAAGCACTGTGCACTGCAAGAACAATCCTCCGCATATATACATACACACATCAGGGAAAGAGTAAGAGTGAGTGGTCCTCAAAAGAATATCCTATGGAAGTATGTCTCACAAGGAGTGTGGTAATCCTGAGCCTCTCACTGAACCTTAGGAATCCACTTTGCATGTCTTGCATTTTCCTTTTTAATCAAATATGGATGATCATGTTTGGTAACACAGTAGAATGGAGACTGAGAGGCTCTCTGACTTGAAGCACAGAACAAGCACATACCTTTGCTCCTTTGCTTCCTTCAGGACCATAGACATCTCTGCCATCCATGCCCTGTGTAGGTTAAATATGCTATGAGTTAGCTTTTAATCAAGGATTAGGTTTATATCCAGTTTCATTTTGGAATTAAGATTGTCCCATTACAATGACTTGGCCAAACTACTAAGCTTCATGAAGCTGAACAAGCTATCAAACACAGTCTAAAAACACTAGCAAACAATGGCAAAAACTGTAGAGGAAAAACAAGGATAGAGGTCATAGTTCCTTTCCACTGTGTGCCCTACCTTTCACATACTTTCTTCTAAAGAATTTGAGGGGAAAGGTATTGTCTCTAGCCCACAAGAAATCTGGTGTCTATAAGGAAATGGAGAACCAAACGTGAAATAATTTTATTTGTATCAAATAGAGAAAATAGAAGGGGATGGACATTCCTGACTCAGATGGATAGGTATTAAAATACAGGGGTCCTGAATTAGGGCAGAAAACTCACAGGAATGCCTCTCTGTCCAGGGGGTCCAGCTAAGCCCTTCTCTCCAGGGTCACCAGGTTCACCCTGTTATAATTGAAACACAAAAGACATTAGTTTGCCTCATTCAAGAGAATTCTTCTTTCTGAAATGCAAACCTGCCTGTTAAACTGAAGTGTGCCTATACATTTTAGAGACTACTTGATGCTGGGCAAAAGTATTCCATTGCAGACCATGTTTCATGGACTGTGCCTGGTGGTAGAACTGGAAAGGACTTGGCAAATCAGAATATGCTGAGCATTCATGCAGCTAACCCCAAAGTTCAATAAAACTCTCATTGCAATACAGAATTACAAATGTAAAAAAAAAAGTGCAGTTTGGAAAAAATTATATTAATGGTAGCAGGACATATTCTGGAATTCTACCAGTCTGAAGCACCTATTGATAGCAAATGATATTTCTCAGGCAGGCTGTCTGCACTGTGCTCTCAGCCCTCTTGCAGGGTTTCTTTTCTTCAGTTCCACTTTAGTTTTCACTTTCTAACTGAACATTTTTCTAACAAAGGCCCTAATATTAAACAGCACAAAACCAGACTGAAAAATGGAATGTATGATGGAAATTCCCATATATCTTCCCAATGTTAGTCACTGTTTTAATTATGTTTTCACACAGTGATTCTTTTCATGGCAGCACTTTGACCTTCTGATAGCTCTCCGTCGCTAAAGGTTACAACCCTTGAAAGAAATGGAAAAGCTTAGCTGGCTGTGTTATTTGTGATTTTTAGATCCAAATATTCAACAGCACCTAAATTTAGTTATTTCTATTAAATAAAATCTCACATATCAACAAACATAAATGAAAGGTAAATAAGGATAATATTTATTATATGTGAACTCCAGTGGCAGCAACCTGTTGTTATAAGTATAGGCCTTTCTGTTTGACTTCATGTTTATTCAGTGCTTCTCAACATGTGCATTGTTTCCAAATAGACACCAAAACAGCAAAAGTTCCTTGGACTGGTTTGGAATCTTTAGAAAAACAAGGTTAAAATAAGCATCTATGGTTCTTTGAACTGAGAAGGTCAGATTGGACATTAGGAAAAAGTTCTTCACCGAAGGGTAAAGTCACTGATCCAGTGTTGGTCACTGGAACAGGCTCCCCAGAAAAGTGGTCATGGCACAGGGCCTGTCAGACTTCAAGCAGCATCTGAATGATCCTATTTATGGTTTAGTTTTAGGTAGTCCTCCAAGAAGCAAGGAGTTGGACTTGATCCTCATGGATCTCTTCCAAGATAAGATATTCTATGATTCACTGGTGAGTATTTTCAATGGATTGGACAGACTCTAGGAATCATCAAAAAACCACAAGGGTCTGCCCTGCCTTATTTCTGCTCCATTTTGTGAGAAGGCAGGTCCCATTCAGAACCATTACCACAAGAGCAATTAATGACAGTGATCATGGCAACACTAAAAACTTCTTAGTGTAGTTCTGATATGTGTAAGATGAGATGTGCTCATCACTTGTCTTGCCATGCAAGTGAAAAATATCTTTAAAATGTAACATTTTACACGTTTCACAGCACTGAACTAACTCTTTGTTAGTCCGTGCTTCTTTGGTCTGTCTTGAATGAATGACACCATTAGATTGCTGCAATTAGATACTTTGAAAATCTTTACCTTTGCTCCTCTTACACCTAACTTTCCAACAGAGCCAGGTGAACCAGGCATTCCCAGACTACCCTGTAATAAGAAAGCATCAGTTAAAAGGTGCACAATGAAAAAATCAAGGGCTCACTCACTCAAGGATTCATTGCCGCTTCAAATTACTGTAGAAACAGTAAAAATATTGGGCTTTTGAGGACCACAAGTAAGAGTTACTGGTCGAACTATCATTCTACTTATTTCCTGTCATCTGTACAACTGCCATAAAATTCTCAAAATTTCATCAAGTATGACATAAATGTTATTTTCTATCTACATAGATAGCTAGTGAATACAGGCATATGTGTAAAAAATATTAATGTACATATATAATTGGTTATGTAAACATGAGCATCATTAGTTGACTGAAACAGATGATCAAGGCTGACAGCATAGGACATTCAGTCCTGAGTTACAATGGTGTAATTCCAGAACAAGAATCCCCAAAAGCAACAGCATCACAAAAGTGAGAAGTTCAGCAGACAGTTCAGCAGCTCAATAGTTGCAACCTCATCACAACCTAGCACTTGCTATTCACACACCTAAATTTATTTTCAAGGCTGTTATTTTACCATATGAGACTGCAAATTAGTTTCCTTAGGTATTACACCAAAAATCCCTGTTTCTACTTTTTATAAGCTTTTTGAAAACTCTTTATAAGAACAACCCATCACTGATAATGAAAAAAAGGGTACAAGTGGAATATATTATTTAAAACTAACCAGAGGGCCTGGCATGCCTTGTGGTCCAGGAGGTCCTCTGATTCCTTGTGGTCCTCTTGGGCCCTGATGTAAAGAAGACATTGAAACAAAAAGTCAGTTCAGTGCTAACAGCCCTTCAATGACTATCATATTGCTGCAATGACCAGAATCCCAGGGCCTGTTTCACAAGCTTTATTTTACAGTTGAAACTTCTTGCTGTTTTGTTATAAGGATATGCCTGTTTGAAGCACCTGAGATGGCCTGACAGTCTGATTCAGAGACCCACTGAGGTGTCTAAGGATACCAAGGGAGCCATAAGCAGCCTTCTATCAACCAGGCATGCTTTCTCCATCCTAAAATGTAAGTTAAAGGTATCTTTAAACTTAAACATCTTTAAAAGTTAGAAGCATCTAAGAGCATTTTTAAACTCAAAGCTACTATAAGAAGTCTATCACAATAATTCTGTTCAAAATTACTCCACCTAGCAAATTTTTTAAACACAAGGCTTTTCTCACTGGTTTTGTCAATGCAATAGGTTTTATGTATTTATTGCTGTCAATTTCTAATGAATTCATTTCAACAATTTCTGCTTGATAATATCATGTAAGTTGGAGATGTGTTGGCTAAATTACTTTTTTTTGCTACTCATGCTCCTCTTTTAATTTCACTAGAAGTTGCAGCTGTGTAACTTGTCACATTTAATTCCTTAGGCTTACAGAAAAGATTTGCCAAGAAGGAGTCTTGTAATATTCATTAGTTGAAGTTAGCAAAGCTTTCCAAAACACAAACAAAACATCAAGGCAGAAAATTTATTTTCTCCATAACTAACATAAAAACAACTCAGAAGTTCTATTACTTACCTGGGGGCCTGGAAGACCAGTTTCTCCTGGGTAACCTGTTTCTCCCAGATCTCCTTGCTCACCCTGCCAGAACAAAACCCAAGAAAACAACAGTGAACACAGACAAATTAGTCTATCTCATTTGTACATCAAAAGATAATAATCTAGTATCTGTACAGAGTAACAGTTGATAGAATGCTTTTCAATGCTCTCAAACAATTTTCAAAAAGTTTCAAATTCCTATTGAAGAAAACTCAAATAAAAAGCAGAAGAGTAGCTTTTCTTTGGTTTTTTGGAGGGTGTGATGAACACAAAAGCTGCAGCAGAAGAGGTCAGTTTTATTTTGCTGAATACATTTACACCATGTCTCAGCAATATTTGTGCATTACCTTTGTCCACTGTGGAGACCTGAAGTCATAAAGCCAGGCCACAAGGTCAGATTCCCTTTCCCCTTATCCATGGGAAATGGCTCTGAGGGGAATAATGACTTCACAATCACATTAGAATTTGACCCCTTTTTACTCCCCATCTTTCACTCTGGTTATTCAGTGAGGCAAATAACATCTGCCTTGATGATGGAAAACAAAATTTCCTGCTCCCATCTTCATAAAGTTGCCATCTGAGGACGAGTCAGTTTAGCTGATGTCCATAAGAAATACTCACTAACTTCTGGATTGAGTAAAATGGTGACAATTAGCATCAAGATATTACAGGCCTTGTAGATCCCCTTTCACTGGAAAAATCATAAACATATGCCTGAAGATTCTTGGGTAATAGATGGTTCTGGAAAGAATCTTCTGAGGAAAAATGAATTTTAAGGGCTGAAATTTCATGCTGCACTGTATGAATGAAACAAAAGATAACAACAGAAAAAAAAAAAGCCGAAAGCAAAAAAGAATGTTAATTTATAGCCAGAGTAGGAAAACTGTAAAATAGAACATCAGCAAGTATATGATATTCACAGATGTAAAAAATCAAGTCGAAATAGATTTCTACAAAAATAATTTTGACTATTAAAAAAATGGATACATATCTTAGGCACATTCTACTAAAATTTAAAACCAATTTAAAGTTTTCAGCTACTTAAATTTACTTTGAATCAAAACCCAGAAAAATTGATGTCCTTTTTTCTCCCCTGCCTTTTCCTCTCTCTCTTGCCTTTCTGTAAGTTAATTTCCTTTTTCTCTTCATTATTTTGCTTTATTTCCATCACACAGATTGCAGTGCTGTTCTTGTCTGTGACCAACACCTCTGTGACACCACATCACACCTTCTATTCCTTCTGCCTGCTGACTACTTCTAACTGTTAAGAATGGCTATCTGTGCTTCTTTAGGTTATTTTAACTATTTGAAAAAATTAGCCTGTTTTTTATCACAGAAAGGCACAGTCAATTGGAACTGCACGTGCTGGGAGGAGTCCTCTTTAGGATATGGTGAACGGCAGTGTGCTCATGCTGACTGCAAGAGAAGTTAATTACTTTGTTGATGGGGATGTTATTTCAGTGCTTTTTATTAACAGCTGAACCTAAAACAAATCCTTTTGTGTTAGGTGGGTGAATTCTGGCTCACTGTCTCTAACTTGATTATTAATCTCTGAGTATGTCACCACCAATATCTACCTGATCAATCAATTGATTGATCTATCTGTCTATCTATCTATCCATCCATCCATGCATCCATCCATCCATCTATCTATTATCCACCTGAAAGAGGGATTCTTCTTTATCCCATTTCAGCACAAAACCTTCCTCCTCCAGAGGGACTGGCCCTATCTAATTTCCCTACAAAGCAGGATACTTTGGTCCACAAAAGGACCCTTGAAGACCCCACAAATATCAAGACTAAGTGGATCTGCTTCCTGGCCCAGGGACACCAGGAGAGCTTCACAGTGAAGCTCTCATAACTTCTGCTGATAGAGCTATGCTCTGCAGCAGCTTTGTAACATCCTGCCATGAAAGAGGTCTCAGTGGATGGACACAACACCCACAATCTCACCCAAAGATGGATGCCCCTGTTGTATTGCAGGGTTGATTGTTCCATCTTGCTTCTCCAGAGATGTGGAAGACAGAAGTGTGCAATTCTCTTTGCCATTTACTTTTTACAACTTTTCAGTGATAACTACATTACCTGCATTTGATCATTGATAGTACCTACCTTTCAATGCTCAACTGACCCAGACAAATGATTTTACATTCTTTTAGAAGTCAAAGCTGATCATCAAGTACTTGAATGAAAACAGTTTAAAAGTTCTCTGTTGCTGTGAGTTTCGGTAATTTCTCTTGTTCCCTGCCATTTTAGAAAAGCGCGTGGCTGCATGACTGGCTAAGGGGGCTTCCCTGGAGATGAAAAGGGTTGTCTCAACTAAGATTCAATTACTTGAAAAGGTTCAACTAACTCTGTACTCTGTGAATTTACTAAACAAGTTGAACATTCTTATTTTCTAACCACATAAGGTTCTTGTGCTTGTCAGTACAACCAAAATGTAGTAAAGATCCATTCCTACCGACTTCAGTTTTGGTCCTGTTACCAACCGTAGCTTAGTTGGACTATTTATTTTTGTTGGTAGGTGACAGAAAAATGCAAACATTCATGAGATATCAGCTGCAATCCAAGAGGGAAAAGAAAAAAAAAGCACCAAGTTTCCTAATTACCCAAGAAATGGATTTCTGAGTGACCAAGCAAGGATTGGAATAATTAAGAGGCAGACTTGATGAATATTCTTCAATATTTTAATCTAAAATGTCTTCATAAACCCTGTAAAGAATTTCTGAGATAGAAATAGGAAACAACTGCAAAATGCTTACATTCTTTCTAGTTATGCTGATCCTGGCAATAGCCAAAGAATGGTGCTTTCTCCCTGCTGGTAGACAGTATCAAAATCTTCCAGTCTACCCCTATCTGCAATGCCTCAGTGAAAATTTTGGATTCTCAAAGTGAAATCCAAATTGGAACTTTCAGAAACCAGGTGGGACAGGAATTTTGGCACACAGCATATATGTGTATTGCAAAAACCTTGGAAGTGACCAGAGTGCAGTTTAGGGAACTTGTAGGACTGTCCCTTCTGATTGACATTTCCCAGTGAAATATTAATTTGAATCATTCTAAATGTAAAAAAATCTGCATTATCTGGCTGCCACACAGAGGAAAAATGTAATAAAGGTATAGCAAAAACCTCTCAACAGGAGAGGGACAGGAAGCCCAGAAATCAGTGACAAATCAAACACTGTGCTGCTGAAGAAATATTATTACAATAAAAGACAGTCCTTTTCCTTCACTGAAATTTTTGTTCTATATTGCATCACTATGGTTATTCTTGCTATTATTTATTAACATTTTACACCTGACCTACTCAAAATGCTGGTTGGCACTTTCATTCAGAAGCTGCAACTCTACCAATTCCTCAGACTCAAACACACAGCAGAACTTCAAGTTTTATTCCACCCTGTTGGTACTGACACTGTTGTACATAAAATTGCAATGTTTCCTTGGGTTTATACACACTAAGATAAAGAGGGAAATGCTGTATCATGGAATATACCATCTTCCTTATCTGTGTCAGCAACTTGGCAAAGAGATTGGGTCAAATGGGAACCACTTGTGCTAAAGCAAGGTTTTCTAGAACAATAATGTAAACTATACTTGAGAATACCTAGAATTTAATTTTTACTTGCACTAACCCACCCTTGAATATAGCTGAGTTTAGATTTACTTTGATAACTGTATTTTGTAATTCATACCCTGGAATAAACAAGTTTTCTTTTCCAAGAACATTATCTGGACCATCATTTAAGAGAATTGCAGTGATGTCTTTACTAAGTACATCTCCGGAAAGTTTTCTTTCATTGTGACTCTGTGGGGTATAAATCTAGGAAAACCGGGGCTACCACCTAACAGTGAGAGAGATTTTGTTATCTCTCAATTAAATGAGAGGTTTTTCTACCAGAGGATCTTCCTGGAAAGATCAGTCAGCATGTAGTGGGTTTGACCTATTCTGTACATCCTACATTCTTCTAGATATTGACTTGGGAAATTATTTCCAAACCCTTGATTATATGTTTGAGCCAATTGCCAGAGCTGCAGTTAACACTGTTTATTTTGAGCAAAGCATTGTGTAGAACTTGCCCTAATTCTATCTGTGCTGCACATGTGTATCACACATATCTCTGTGCATGCAGCAAAGGAGGAATAAACTGTCAGACTTTGCAGCCTGACTTCTCAGTCCTGTCATCTTTACTGACAGTCTTTTCTCTACCTATGCTCATATACTTGCCCTAATAGTAAAAGTAACTGTCCTTTTATTTTGACTGTCCTTTTATCTCTTCCAATTCTAAATCCTTCAAGTCAGGAGGGTCTCCACTACATCCACCTGAGATTCAAAAGCTGCCTTGGCTTGAAATAGACTTTTGATTGTTAAACACTTGTGTCTTGGCTCACAATGAAATTTTTCCCATAAGAGGAGCAAACACTCAGGCTGGACATGTAGCTGCATACAAATAGGTAGCAGCAGTGTCAAACACTCACCTTTATACCTGGAGGGCCTCTTCGACCTGCTGCACCCTAGGAAGGAGTGGCAGGAGAGATTACATCCAGAATACTGAGCAATATGTGAAATAGCAATTTATCATAAAACACATTATGCATACAATAAGGCCAAATACAGCTTAAAAAAAGCAGAGAATATTTCCACAGAAAGACTTAAGGTTAAAAAAATGAGAAAAAGGTAGATTTGGGACAGAAATTCTTAACACAAGGAAGTCTTTTCAAAAAGAAAAAATGTTTTAGATCCTTAATGAGTGCAGAGAGGAGACATTTCAACAAAATTCTGGAAAACATCTTCCCAGTCAATTGCCCTTTGGCTAAAACAAAGAGAACAAAAGCCCTCTTTTCCTCCATGAGCCCAGAGGTTTGCACAACTTCCTGCTGCACACTGCTCAGCAGCTCTAGTGAATGTTACTGCTAAACCTCACAAACTTAAGGAGGTCTTTAGGATGTTTTTGCAGCCTGATTGACGAGTGATCATACCAGACTTTGGCATTAGACACAATGCTGACACTAGAAGAGGGGCCTTCACAATTTCCAATCTCCAGTGAACTAAAAAGGAGCAGCTCAGCTGCCAGTGAGCTTACCTATATGCATGAACAGACATAGAAAACTTGTAGTCTTGGGCAGAAAGAAGACATAGATTAATCTAGGGTGGAATCTTGAAGCATTTAAGGCTCATTGAAAAAGAAATTGAGTTTAAGGTTTGTTGCTTTACATGAATCAGACCTGGAATTAACAGGAATGCAAATTCCTGATTTTAAAGAAAAGAAAACACATTGCAATATATATAAGCTACCAGAATTGAAGCCAAATGTGTTTTTCTTTGAAAACTTTAGAAGATTTTTCTTCTTTCTCCTTGCAGGAGTTTGAAGGGTAGTTTAAAAGGAAGAAGACAAAAATGGGTTTTCTTGGTAGGAGCCCCACTGTGTGTTTTATCAGTTATTTCCACCCCATATTGATTGTTATTCTTACATCTAGGCCAGCATCACCCTGTTCTCCTTGGGGTCCTTGTGGGCCTGGGTCTCCCTGCAAAGCAAAGTAATGACCAAGATCTTTTAACACTCTTTCCTTTTTCTTGTACATGCACATTCTTTTTTATACATTCCTTTGTTTCTTCTTCTAAGTATTTTCATTGCAATCAGTAGTGTCATACTAAGGTTGATTCTTGCTTTTTACAAATCATTTATACTCAAAAATTATAAACCAGATAGATCATGTCTGTTTTGGATTTCCAGTCACTAACAGCCTATAAGAAGTCAAGGCTTCTGTGAAATCATTTCTGTTGACTTCAGCCTTTCAATTAGACTACTTAAGATGAGATTTGCTTTTAAAGCATCATCAAAACCCAATTATTCTTCCAAAAGTAAACCTCTGAATTTTTCTACTGCTTTCAGCACATTCTGCATAGACATACATGTATGTATACAATCCTACTTGTTCAGAGAGAAAGAGACTTCTGAAGCAGTGGATTTTCCCCACGTTTGCCATCCTCTTAAGCTTTCATTCACCATAATTTCTTGCTACTGTCCAACTACTTATCAGCTTTGTTTACTCTTTCAAAAAAAATTGTAATGGTAATGCAAGCCATGCTTTTCTCTTATGCTTCTTTCCTCGCAGTTTTGCTAAAACATCTGTTAAAAACTCAAATATCACTATATAAGCACATATCCCAGCTCTTATATTCTATTTACAGATCAAAATGGAGTTTACCCACCACCCTGAGGCAATAGCAGCTCCATAACAAAATGAGTATAGTCTGTTGGTACTCCATGAATTTTTCCCAGCACCATTTTTAACAGTATCCTTACAACCCATTACTGGAAGCCTTTCAGGCTACTGATGTAGATTTGTGGAAGAATAACATATTTATACTAAATCCATGTTTTCCATTATCTCTACATTGTGAGAATATTTCCATAGTCTTTGTAAACATGTTTAATTTTTTTTTTCTTTTTTTCTTGTATCAAGCAGTTCCTAGAACTTTCTGTGTTGCAGACAAACAAAAACCTCTTTGGTCACTGGACAGCCAGTAGAAATTAGTCATTATGCAAATCCTCTCTCCACAAAATAGAACAGCTTGCTTACCTGTGATGCTAGGTTTCCCTTTTCACCCTTAGGGCCAGTAACATTATTGTTAGCCCCAGGATCTCCCTGAAAAAGATCAATGGGAAGCTCAGCATTTTCTGTTACCATACCTTTATTACTTTGACTACGGCAGAAGGATATAGAAATAGAATTAATTAGATTTGTAATTGCAGAGAGCAAGGAATAAAAAGCCTATTTTAAATGATGATGCTTGTAAGAGCTCAATATAGGAAGTTCTGCAAAGTCCACCAAGTTCTTTTCCACAGGGATTAAAAGCAAAATGACTAAAGGACAACAAATTAAACTGAAAATGTGAAACTGTTCTGGTTGATTTGGTATAGTTAATTGAGTTATTATCATAACTCATGCGTTTCATTTGGGGCTTACACTAGAATGGAATTCCATTTAGCCCCTTAATCCTAGATCAGGTGAAATCCTGATCTCTCAAAGAGGCAAATAATCATGTCACTGGAACTCTTTTTTTCAATATAAGCTTTAAATACAGGAGTCAGCACAATATATGTTTGGAACAAAGTATTTGAAATATATGTGAAAAGACAAAGTTGTGCCTTTTCAGGACAAGAATTGTGGTATCTGCACTGGAATTTTAGTCCAGGGAATGCGTTTATGTAGGTCTCTGGAACATGCAAAGAAAAAATGTGAATATGAGGAAGCAACTTGCTTTTGCATCATTATGAATTGTTAACCAAGAGTCAGTGAGCAGGGCTTTCAAGTGATCCAGAATTCCTCTGTAGGGTGGGAACAAACAGGGAAGACTGACCTACTCCTGGTCTTTCCATCAGACTGTCTGGTCTAGTGTGAGGTGTCCCTGCCCATGGCAGGGGGGGTGGAACTAACTAGATGATCTTTAAAGTCCCTTTCAGTCCAAGCCATTCGAAAATTCTATGATAAGCAGCTCCAAAAGGAGTTATGTTGTCTACACTGAAAACAAACAAACAAACAAATCATAAACAAGCAGGAGTCCTGAGGTTAAACATCTGCTTCCAAGCAACACATCAAAACACATCAGTCCATCTACATCTAAAGAGTTCAGGACTCCTAGAATATGCCATTCTTCTTGCAGAACACTGCATTTTCTAGAACTGTGAAAAAATCTTCAAATCCTCAAATATCTCAGACCTCTCCATCACAAAATTGAGGAGCAAATCAGTGAAATATAGTAAAAATAAAGAAATGCACTTACATGATCTCCTCTTAGTCCAGATTCTCCTCGTTCACCTGGTTCTCCTCTGGGGCCTTTTCTGCCCTAAATTCATAAAGAGAGCACAAACAATTCAGGTACAATTATAAATAGTATCTGTGGCAGCAGAGGGCCAGATCTGTTGAAGTCAGTGGAGCTACACTGATTTAGAGCAGGAGTGACAGCATATTAGAGAACAGGCAGCTATTAAAAACAACTCACAGTCATTACAGACAGCATGACACTTTGGAAAGATGTTTCCATAAAATCTAAGCATTACTGTAAGGGGTACATCACCAATCTCCCTCTGCTGCCTTTCTCTCCAGAAGGTCCAGGAAATCCACGTTCTCCCTAAACTCAGAAGGGGGAGAAAAAGAATAAAAATTATTATTTGCTCCTTCTGCTAAATCAGGTTCTCAAGTTTTTCTGTCAGAATCCAACTGCAATCAGATATACAATTCTAGACTCCCAACAACAGAACTACTGTTCAGCATTAAAGCCCATTCAAAGCACAAAATCTGTACCTTTGAACCCTGAAGTTGGTGTCTTTACTAGCATTGCACATTTAAGATAATGTTTACCTGCTCTCCATCAGTGCCATCAAATCCACTCTCGCCATGTTCACCCTGTAGCAATAAGGAAAAAAAGAAAACCAGTTAGCGTTAGTCCACTTGTCTGTTTGAGCAAAGAAAGAAGTGTTCACCCTGATTTGAAAACTTGAATAAGACCTGTGGTTTTAATGGTTAGCAAGAATAATAAATTTTAATTACTGTAACACTGTCTAAATCAAGTAACTGTAAAGGACGCTAAATAAAAAACCAGCTATTTAAATTTTAGATTTCTATCAGGATTTAAATTCTGCTTGTCCTTGTTTTAGCTTTCAAATCTTTTCCCAGCTGCAGCACCTTTAAAATCCAAATACATTCCAAAATAAATTACTAGTATTTGATCTATCATGCTGATAACCTTGTCATTTTGATTTCAGCCATCATATATTTTTGTACTGTGCTTTTTTCTTTTTTACATCGTTTTATAACATGAACAGTGGATTGAAAAACCAGAAAGAATAGCCATGATTAAAAAATATTTACAGAACACTGATCTTAGACTTTAGGACTTTTTAAGAATCTTCAAAACCTTTCAGTAAGAGTACATTAATAGCAGGGCTACATGAATATCAGTCAACTTCACTTTCAAATTCACATTGTTTTTCTCTTCCCTTTGCCTGCAAAAATTATACACTCCATTTATGGGGTGTATCTAACACTTATGGAAATCATTTTCCTACAAAATACTCATCCCAGACTTAGGGCATTTGCAGTGTTAACTTGTGTGAGGCATCTAAATAAAGTTATGACTGCGAGACACTTATTTCATTTATGTATGCTCCACGATGTTTCAGACTCAGCCAAATAACAAACTCAGTTTTTACAGGATATTTTGAAACTTCTTCCCTCTTTCTTTACTAGGATAAAAATGAAGGAATTAACTGTGTTGGCTTAATTTGTAGTGAAAAATTAATTTAGCAGAGACAACTAACCAGAAAGCTGAAATGATATTCAACAAATACTGAAAGTGGCACAAGAACAAGTTAAAACCATCAGCAGTCTCACTCTGATAGAGACCACAGATAAAATTGCTTTGTAGGTTTTGATGCTAAATTGAGTTTGCAAAACCTCCTAGTTAAAATTCCTGAGGAAGAACTTCTTTCATTTAAAACAGTTCTGTACCTACTACAAGGAAAAAACAGCTGGCTGTACATTTTGATTAGATTAATGCGTCACAAACAAGAATTTCTTGAATAAGCATTCCAGAAAAATTTTGAGCACTAAATAAGTAACCATGACTTTTATTGACATGTTATTTTTTCTATCAGTCATTTCCTACCTCAGAAAACCTGAGCCAAACTTCCTACTATTAAACATTCAGCATTTCCTTTTATTCAAATAGCTACAATAAAATGCCTTCCAGACTTCAGTAACTTCAATAAACTGCTTAAACCTTACTAAGTTGGCACAATTGAATCATTTTTTTATGTCCTGAAACGTTCATATTTTTATTTTAGAAAAATTGTGGATATAAGACACAACATAATGAAGATATTCATGTATTCACTGGATTTCAGTAGGGTGTGTGCAACTGGTAAGACCTACTGCACTATTTAACTTTGACAAATTTAAATCATCAGCAAGTACTCTCCTTCTTCTATAATCAGACATTTTGAACATTGGAAGAAGGGCAAATTACTTCAGAGAAGGGAGAAAAAAAAGGAAAAGAAAAGAGAAACACATGAAAAGATGAAAAAGTTACTACAGAGCAGTACTTTAAAGAGAGCTGAGGTTTCAGAAATTCTCTGAACTTTCTCCAAGTTGCTCAGTTATGGAGGCAAACATCTTCTGAATCTTTGAGGCTCATAATTAATTTTTAGAAGTGGTTTTGTATCAGAGAATTCAATACAAGTTAATTTCATTTTAATCACTGTAGCTTGGAAGCTATTACTTTTAGAGATCATTGTCTTCCAGGCTTCACTTTTGATTATTGAATTAGTGACCATATCTTCTTCATGTTTGAAAAGTTAAACAAGCAGACTTGAAATATCAACAGATGAGATGACAAACACAGCTTGAAAAGAAGTTTGGATATTGAAAACATGTCAATAATGATCTAGGGAAAATGATGTCCAAATCCCCAATAAGTATTAGTTACAACCTCTTTTTCCCTCTGCTCCTCCTCACAATTAGAGTGAGATTCAGATAACCCGATTTACCATCTTAACAGATTATCAGACTAGTCAGTAAATGAATCCTTTTCCTGTCAGTTAGACTAATAGACTACAATCATATAAAAATACAATTATGACTGCTGATTTTGATTAATGTGATAGGTATCATAAATCCATCCTTATAGAACCATAGCAAAAGTAAATTGAATGCTATTTTCACACTATTTTCACACTAAGTTGTTACACTATTTTTACATTAAATTTTTACGCCATTTGCCTTCCTTGTTGATTAATTTACAGAGTAATGTGAAAGGGAGCCAAACTCCGTTCTCAAAGAAAATGGATCACACATGAAAACACATACCTGACTTCCTCTATAGCCTCTGGCCCCCTGAAATTGAAAATAAATATAGATGAAATTTGGTAAAAGTGTTTTTATTGAGCTTGAAAAGCAGGGCACAATAGCTTGTTGTGCAGAGGTATGCTGAGCTCAGTATTGGTAGTCCCTACTGTAAAACCTTCTACTGTCACGTATGGGATTTCCTTTCCTCTGGGAAGACAGTACAGGCTTAATTTTCATTCCCACTCCATAAAGCTTTATAGCTTTAACTAAGGTCAGTCTGGAGCTGATGGTGAAAAAGTCATCATCAAGTTGTTTAGTCAGCAAAATCCTGAGCCATTCAACCATGCTCAGGTTACACAAAATACTTAAAATTAGACAGCAAACACTGTCTGCCATTCCTTCAGCTGGATCTTGATGTTCATCCATGCTTCAGAGAGACAGCACAGGGATTTGTTCCCAGTACAGAAAACAGGTTTATGGGAAACAAATTAGGAAATATTTCAAAGTTACACACTTGCCTTATGGCCTCTGACACCTGGACATCCCCTGTCTCCTTGAGTCCCACTGAAACCAGCTGGGCCTCTCTCCCCCTAGGAAACAAAGGAAAATGTTCAATCTCATCCATACAATGATGATTACTGGTTAATTTATCACACAAGACTAAAGCAAGACAGAACTGCACTAAGACGACAAATGCAAGTCCTCTGGAAAATTTAATTCAGGCCATAAGAGAATATCAATTACTAATTTGAGTTGCACCTGGTTCTTTGCTCTCACTATCATGCCATGTTTATACTGCATTACCAATCTCTAACTCAACTGTGTGTACTTGAAGGTGGGTTGGTTTTTTTAACTGAATAACTAACCCACTTTCGGTGAGTGGCTTTTTTAACTGTGTAACTATATATGGTGAGGTGCAGAGGCACAGAGAAACAGATCTGTCTATTTACCTGTTCCTCTAACATATTTTGGGTTAACATTGATGGGTATTCAGTGAATAAGTGTAGACAGGCTCAGGCACCAACTAACATCATCATAGCAGGAAGACAAATGTTTACTTACAATCCCACCTTCCTCACCAGGATGGCCAGGAGATCCTCTGTAACCTGTACTTCCCTGAAAAAGAAGAATTTAAAAGTAACACTGTTCTCCAAGCACACTGGGTTCATCTCTATCAGATTATTCTGCACATAGAGATAGAAAACATTTCCTGAAAATTAGATCTGGCTATGCTAAGGAGGGCAGCTCCTTGCATTTACACAGACACTCTCTACAGTCCTGTGTATTTGACATGGCTGGAAAAAAAACCCCAAATATAAACCCAAGGAAAGAACAATGGTTAATATACAGTTTCAGCTGTTATTTCTGGAAATTCTCTGATGGCTTAACAAAGTATCCCAAATTAAACATCTTTCTAGTGATTTGGAAAAGAAAGCATTACAGTAATGAAATTCTAAGGTGAAATGAAAAATATATGGAGTTGGAAACTTGTTAGGACAAAGTTATTGCAATGCCTTGCAAACACATAGGAACATTTTAACTTTATATTGGAAGTCATGCAAATATCATTACCCTTAAGGCAAAATTTGAGCAGAGAGAAACTGGAACACAGGGAATTTCTAGTTGCAAAACAACTATGTTTACATTCTGAGTACTGTCTAAGCACCTCAATCTAGTCTTTTAGTAAAACAGAAAGGTATAAGAAAAGCGACAAGAGCAATGGAAAAAAACAATAAATTGGTTTATGAAGTATTAGAAGACTATACTTTTCTTAAGACATAACCAAAACTTCATTTAACTGCAACCATATAACTGAAGAGTGTGAACTGCAGATATCATTTATCTCACATGCTACTGGAATAAGTAGAAATAAGGGAATTAACAGTAGTCAAATGGAGACTACATTTATTAAAAACTTTAATAATTAATTCTACTAGTATGCTGTAGAAGTAGTGGTGTCTGTAATATTCAAAAAGGCTTAAAAATCCAATTTTAAATCGTAAAAGAAATAATCCTTCTGGATCAAAACAGACTTATAGAAGAGGACATTTGGAATAACCAGTCACAAAAGGATAAGGCACATATTGAGTGAAAAATTATCATTTTCTACTCTCAGCTTGTCAGTTGGAAGTTTCTCATTCCCCATAGATAATAAGCCTCTTGATTAATCAGACTTATTTTTTTAATCCGTCTCCATTTTTTGCTGAATTGGGGCAGTAGAGTGCTTAATGATTTTTATATGTACAAATCATTTTCATTACAAAAATTTTTTGCACAGGAGAATGCAGCAGAGAAAGGATCACATTTCATGTTTCTCCTTCATCTGTCCTAACATTAAATGGTATGGAGACACATATGCATGCTCTGAAATACTACAAAAAGCCAGAAACACTTTGAAAAATGAAGAAGTTCTTATGTGATCTCTATCTTAGACCTCCTACCTTCCTTCCAGGATTTCCCCGGATACCATGATCACCATTTTCTCCAAGACACTTACAAATAACCTTACAGCATTTTCTCTCTGCAATAGTATCCTGAAAAATTACAAGAAACATTCCATTTACATATACTAATCATAAACAAAGACTGATTTCCCCTGCCTTTTATTTATATCACAGAAGGACTTACAAGATTTCTCTGCAAAATGTTTGCAATATCTGCAAACCCAACACTCAGAGGTTCATTGTATCCAAACCCTCTGCCAAACTCTATTTCCCAAAATTCAGTCAAGTTCTGTGTATTGTCCAGGCCAACTAACAGAAGTGCATCAAGACCTTCAACATAAGAACAAATTTAAATTAGTGGATATCTGAAACATACAATTTAACCAACAATATAAACTTGAATAGCAGCAATCTCCTGAAAGACTTACATTTTATGTCTTCAATACAATATGTTAAAAGAAACCAAGCTACTGAGAAAAATGTGCAAGAGAAAAATCCACAGCAGTAATTTTCCAATTGACTTTTCTCCCCAGCTGTCACACCAGAATGTTACTCAGTGCCCTAACACGAGTTCAAACCTGCTTTTTCCTGGAGAAGCCAGAGTTGTATCTAACCTTCTGGTGCTGTTCTCATCAGTGAGAAGGGTCCATCCTGAATCGCTCCAGCTGTTGGAGCTGGACTCCAGAAAATAGAACCTCTCCACCCCTAGGCATGTCTGGCATCATCTGCCATATGGTGACAAGTCAACATGTACACTGCTTCACATGGAGAAGCCAATACTCTCCCAGGGACTCCTGGACAATTCCATATGAGCATGGAAAGGCAGTGTTAAGTGGAAAAGTTGCAGTGCGGGAGCTGTACCTCAGGCCTGTGATAGTAGCAGGCAGGAGCATCGAAGTGGTGCTGTCATACCTTTAAAGCGAAGTGAGTCTGCTGCTTTCTTCAGGTCTTCCAGTGAATCATCCAGCCCATCTGAAAATACTAACAGAACCTGGCCGGAAAGGGTGTAATGACATGTCAATTGCAAAGAAATGCAAAGTTCAGTCTTTGTAAGAATTACAGCTTACATTGAGAAATGGCTATGAGATGACCAAATTGCACTACACTGTGATAGACCTGAAATGTGTGCTGGAAAATGGTAGTGAGGAACAATGAGAACAGAACACAAAAGCCTCTCTTCCCTGATAGCACTTCCATTTGAGGGATTTTTCTTGCTGAATATAGCATAGCTATTAAATTATATCTATCAGCTTAGCATGCGAAGTAGAAGACAAATTCTTTTTTAACTTACCCACTGAAAAACTTTCTCTGATGTCTGAAGAGTTCTCTTTTACATGAATGTGGAGAAGAATGAAGAGCAAATTCTCCCATTTCTGCAAGAGCATCTCCTATTGGCTGCCAGCTAAGCTACACCAGGAAGCGCATCCTCTCTGGGTCTAATCCTCCCCCCAGGCAGATATTTATGTCCTTTTGTCCTTCCACATAGGCAGGTCATTGCCCTTTTCTGTTCTCTGCCCTATGTTTGCTTCTCATAACACAAGGTTTAGCTCACTTCTGGACGCTAATAATTTGGATTTGTATTGGATACCTTTCCATCTTTTCAGGCCAAAGAGTTACAGTTCAGTTTCATCCAGTATGGAGGAAAAGCACAGTTTCTTAGTTCCCCTTCAAGCTGCCAGTCTCTTCCCATTCCTCTCCTCCTATTTTCTCTTCAAACCAACAGAGGACTTCTCAGGTCCCACTCACAGAGTGGATTAGTTTGCCCAGAAAGAAGCTTCACAAGTAAATTGTGTCCTATCACCAATGGCAATGACTTAAACTCCTCCTAAACTCTCTGACCAGCATGTACACAATTAGAGCTTTTCCCCTCCCACCCCTATTTTACATTCCCTATGCAAGGCACAGCTTTGATCGGTGCAAAACCTGACACTTTGGTTAAGGTAAATTTTTCCACGTGACAAAAGCAAATGAAGTGACTGCCACACCAAACATCCCACTTCTGTACTAAAGCAGTTAGGAGACAAGAATTCAAGCCGGAACTAACTGGTAAGTTACCAAAAATACAATATGGAGGCATTGCTCAAACACTGTATGATACAGTGGAGAGCTGGACCATGGATGGGTAAACTCATCACAGATTGTTAGACATAATGCTGTAGGCCTGGGTTTGGTTGTTTTTCTATGTTCTTTCCATTTTAAAAACATGGGGAACAGGGAATGTGGGGTGTTACTGTGGGTGTTGTATGTAAATATATGTAAAGATATGTTATTATAGTTACGAAGCATTTGTTTATATCAAGCTCTTGTTGGAACACATCCATTGTTGAAAATGCTGGAATTAGGTCCAACTTTTTTGCTGCTAAGCAAACATATAACAAAGAAAAGAAGAAATTCAACCAACAGATAATCATGGTCCCTGGTGAGTTTTATAACTAATAATCTTTACAGAACAAGCATGTTATTGCTCAGGATCCTAGGAAGATTAAATTGTGATTTCATGTGCATTCTAAAGTCTTGTACTTTCAATTTGTACATAAACAGAGTCAGAGAAGAATATTAATCCACTGGTAAAGTGCTGAGATATGCAGCATATTTATTTATTATAATAATAATGCCTAAGCAGAAAGAAGCCTTTCTTGATGCTGATCTCCAGTACTGGCAATAAGGAGGAAAAAAAGCACTGCTTTTACTTTTATGTCAAACAAGTTCTTTCTCTGAGACTCAAAACAAGCAAAACCTTACGTGGTCATGTTCCCTGTTCAGACATTTTAAGAAATCTTTGGGGAAAAACTCATTAAATGTGCACTATATTGGTGCAACTTAAATTGGTAAATCAAACACACCTATGCAAATGCTGTAAAAAATAGAATGCCAACTTTCATCTGAAAGCAGAGGAGTTTGTAATATGGCTTCCTCACTCCATGCCAGATTAAAATTGGCATTTCATAAAAGCAAAAATGAAGTTGGAAGAGGAAACCCCTTATGTATGTAGCAAGAGCTAACCAGTCCTTCTTCAGTAGGAAGGTCTCCCTTAATGGAGACCTTAGTAAGCGCTGGTATTCAAACAGCAACTACAGGACATACTCAGTGCTTTACACAGTCAGTGCCTTAACAAGAATAAACTGCAAAGGCATTGACCCTGAAACACTCCAATGAGATCTGAATTTCTTGAACTCAAGTTGAAAGAATCCCCATTCATTTCAGGAGAGATTAGATGAAGCTTTATGCTTCTCCCTTCACTTCACTTCAAGATGGATAAATTCTGCATCTAGGCAGAATTTCCTGATCATCAGTTATCTGTAAGTAGAACTCAGCTTTGTGTTTTGAAATTATTTGACAAGTTAATGACATGAATAAATTTTTGTAAGCAAATTTCTCAGATGACCTTTTTCTGTGACTTCTGTTTTGATCTGTCACTATTCTGGACAAAGATACAGAATCAGGAATAAGAAAGTAGTTTCCTTTTAGGAATAAGAGTTCCTGAAAGAAAACTACTTTCCACTCCCCAAAGTACAATAATTCCATGGTAGATATAAGAAGGTTATCTGTAGGAATACTCATCACATGTATTAAGCTAAAAGTTCTGGGTACCATCTCACTATAGGAGTGCCTAGGGAACTGGAATTGATATATCAGGTTATATCAGGTCAACAAAATAATGAGAGGTTCTGTATAAACTTAAGAAAAGACAATGGTGACTCAGCACTAGCATTGGCTGTCTGGAGACATTGAGGAGTCTCCATCCTTGGAGATACACAAAAGCCATCAGGACATGGCCCTGGACAGCCTGCTTTAGTTGACCTTACGTCAGCAGAGGGATTAAAGAAGGTGACTTCCAGGGATTCCTTCTAATCTCTACCTTTCTGTGATTCTGTTGATTAGCATCATCTATTCCTGAACTTCTTTTTGTCTTCCTGGTCTACTCAGCATCAGAGTCTGTAAATATTACACTGCCTAATTTTTCCAAGATATATGTTCATACCATTAAGTTACCTTAACTTTAGCAGAAGTCACATTAAAGAAGTTCTCCTCAAGTGCCTGCAAAAAGTCTGCATTCATGTAGGTGTCCACAGTGGTCTGTGCCCCTAAGAACTTCTGGATGGTCTCTTCATTATAGTCATCAAAACCAGAGTCAAAGATTAATTGTTTGTTCTGCGCCAATAGCTGGAACTTGAACCCAATTTCGACTGGAGCATCGCAGCTGGTATTTGGCAGTGACTTCATCTGGAGGAGAAGTCTGGGGAGGAATGCTTGCAGTCTCTGTTTCAGGAGCATTGTGGCTGCTGGCTGCACGCTTCTTGAAATATCAATTGCTATAGAAAGATCTATATTGCATTCTGGAAAAAAAAAAAGAAAACAGGAGACTATAAACACACATGATTTGTGATCTTCTTTTCTGTCAGAATCATGGAACAAAATTCAACACAATAGATTTAAAGCCAGAAGAATCGGGAAGATAGATTTTCCATACAGGTAAAACGTCATCAACCCACAGGTGGCCATATGAACTTGCAAATACTAAATTATTCGACACCTGCACATTCCCAAACTGCAAAACATGTCTGTTCTCCAGCTGCCCAGTGCCCTCAAAGGGATTAATCTTGAAAATGTCTCTATGAGTTTTGCTACCAACTGGGAATGTACCACACAAATTCCATTTGTGAAGGGAACCTAAATGACTAACTGTGTTTGTCACTTTGTCACAAGACCAGGTGATACATGCAAACATAGAACAGACCATAGAAACAAACATGAGAGAGAGAGGCAGCATTGCCTACATGAAATGTCATAACCATTGTGAAAAACAGCTGCTGTAAGGTGATGGCTACCTCAGCTATAGAATTGCTTGCATTTTTCCCTGTAATAACAGCTAATAGTGTGACGTGGTCAATTCCTCCCCTGTCCCAATCATCTTGCCCTCATTAAAACCTCAGCTAAACCACATGGTTTTTTCTTCTCTATCTTGATTATTAATTTCTCATGTTGAATTTTATTCTGTGATCCTAGATGCATTATTATTCATTGTTGTACCTCTGCAAGGAAGTCAGAGGCATGCAATTTTAGCTTTATAACAGCATTCTACTTAATTTTATTCTCTTTTCACTCATTGACTCTGAAACACTTAGCAATCACAAGATTGCTTTCTGTGTTCACTAGTTTGGGCTTGTTCCTATTATTCCACATAATTTTTCTGGGCTTTCCCTGTCTCATGGAAGAGATAAATGTGTTCAGTTCTTTAACTAAATACTTCTAGAAATAATTTCATCTCAGAGGGACCAACATTATGTTTCAATATGTTCACTTGTGGTACAAACTGCCCCCTAGAGGGTGCGATCTGCCAGAAAGCAGTGTGAAAATCTTTGATTGTAAAAGGTCCCCCATTGAACAAGATTTTATGGCTAAAAAAATCTAACATTCAGACCTCAGAGTAACACCAAAAATCTATGTCTCTTTTCTTTTCAGCTCACAACAAAACAATCAGTTAAATATATCTATACATGCATACAAGTCTACACATACATGTGAACACAAATCTAATGGATATGTCTTCCAGTGTGTGTTGTTGTACAGGACACAGAGTGTGTGTTCACAATGAGATTCTTCTAAGACCTGGGTCTTTTTAGCCACACAGTTTGGAGGTAGTGTGAAGAGGAAGCAAGAACTCAAGAGTTTTGCCCTGACAATTGGTCATCCACACTGCTCAGCTCTTTAAACGTTCTCTGTCAAGTCCTCATTGCACCAGCAAGAACAACAAAACAGCAGTAACTAGTTCACTTTTTGTGTTACTATGTTGTGCATGGGAATGTGTAAAACATCGACTGGTGGGTATCCTATACCTTGTTGATAATCTTCATTTATTTTCAGGAATAAACCTCTCTGTGTTGCCAAACTCTTTTTCTCACCACCTGTTCTCCTACATACATCCACATTGTTAAATTATTCTATCTTACTGCTGCAAAGATATCTTTTTTTCTGCTGCCAACATGCTGTCCCTGAAATGCAATTCTTTAAATTGAAAAATCTGTCAGTTTAAGAGAAGGTGACTGGAGATAAGGGAATTAATGCATTTATTACAGCAAAGAAGGTCAGTGAATATATTAAAACAGATGACAGGACAAGATCAAACAGGCTTCAAAGAAAGCTGATCTTCATTTTATGAGACAAATTTATGCAGATCTTGGCAATAAATATCTGCATCACTGAGATGAAACCCAATATGCTTTCCTTAACTTCTCTCTCTCTAAACAAGCGTGTACCTGTGTACATATATATAAAGTTTACTGCTGTATCTCCCATTAAATCTCCCTGTTCCCTGCCATGAAACACCAGGAGGTGCTACTGCGTCAGCTACGGTCATACTGCTCCATGGCAGCGCACTCTCCTTCCTCAGCAGCCCTCTCTCTCTGCTTACAGGAGCCAGGGAATGCTTCTTCACCTGGGAGTCTGCTCAGCGCTTGATGGGATAAAGAGTGGGTGGAAGAGCTCATACTGAATCAGACCCAGCTGACCTCTCTGCAAACTACCTGAGCAGATATAATTCACACAAGGTTGCTTCTGCCTTTAGGAAGAAAAGTTCAGCTCTTCATTTTGGCCCCCAACACCCCAGCAAACACCAGCCAGTTTTGGGGTGTTCAAGATCTCACTAGCCTAGGATGTTCAGCTGTTGTTACAAAACACCTTGGACAAGCAGTGTGGTCATCCCAGTATTCCTTTCTCAGTAAGTTTCCAATTACAAAGGGAACAAAACCTGGAGAACTGGGTTGCATGAATTTTATGGCATAACAAGGAGAACAAACATGCAAAATATCACATCTATGTGAACATAACACACAGGAAAACAACAAGGAGCTTTAAAGGACAGTCACAGTCCTATAAGGATAAGCAAAGAGAGAAGAAATGCTCCAGAACTGTCTTTTCTTGCCATACCCAACTAATGTCATGCACTTACACCAGTCAGAAGATATCAGCTTTTTGATTTGTCATGCACTCCATTTTCCTTTTTCGCAACTTAATAAACACATCTACAGTATTATCAAACTACATAGCTGGCACAAATATGTAATGTTAAAGAGCAACTGTGTTTGTTCTGTACTTCAGTCTTCCCACATGATAAGGCAACTGGCAATGCAGCATCAAGTTAGAATAAACTCAGACCCAAAACCAGCATGTGATATTTGATAAAAGTTGCTGTGTTAACTGAGGCATCGCTGAACCTTTATTTTCTCTGGGGTTGGCAGCCTCTCAGGCTGTGTGGCATCTAATCCACTGTTGCCATCTAAAAGATGTAGTAAGAGATACCACTTTCTGTTTCTCATCTAGGAAAACTTTTGGGTAGCACTTCACCATTACCATGGGTTTGTTATTCCCATCTTGCCAATACCTCCTACAAATCCATGGATGGATTTTCTGACGCGCTCGCTGCACAGTGGCTCTGTGAGACTTCAGTTTTGTTGACAGACAGTGGCAGCTGACAATCCCACTGAAGCAGTGTGGTCAGCTGGACATGGCAAAGCAATGTTTCTAGGAGGTTCTTTTTAAAGTATCACTGAATTGCCTGTTTCCCTCTTGTTTATTAAGATACTTGCTGGGGGTATCTGCTCTGGCTCCCTTCAGACACTGAGGAACTATGAGGGCTTAATGTGAAACACTGTCTTACTTCAGAAGTTATTTACCATAGGAAGGAGTGTAGTGGCTCTTGACTGAAGTAAAGTACTAACTGCGAATATTAAATGTGGGCAGTACTCTTTGGTAAAACAATTGCACTGCTGTGCAGTTAGCTCAGGTACTTTTATCAGGGACTGCAGAAAACTGTATGGATATTTGTCATTATACACCCAACAAAAGGTTTGTTCCTTACCCTGACCAGGGAGATGTTTGCATTAACAGACCTGATTGACATTATTTATGATGGTTTTCAGTGCACCAAGATTTTTCACTGTGAATTCTCCCTGCATCATCAGTTATTAAAAACAGTTCTCAAGGGGGATTTTATCATCCTTATGTTAGCTTCAAAGACATAGATCCCATTGCTCCTTAAAGCCATTGCTGCATCCTCTACCCTCTCAGCAGAGTACTCACTGAAAAAGGCTTGGGACAAGCCTCTTTTTGGCTACCAGCACTTGCTATGAAGTGATTCTCTAGCACTGGAGGCTCTACCCTGTTTTGGTGCCTCCTTTGTAATGTAATTTTTGTATCTTCTATAAGGAATCATTTTTGTTATGAAAAGTGTTCGACAAGAATTCAGTGTATGTCACATCACTGTGCTGAATCACATCAACACAGATTTTGTCCTCGCATTGATCATTGTGCATGATCATGAAGTTCTTTGTCCCTATACTCCAGAATCCATCTACCAAGAAAATGATGTCTGTCATGAAAGCTTTCCTGCTGACTGAAGAAATATGTCATAAATTTCCTCTTTCCTTAAAGGTTGTGTAATCTCATAGAAAAGTAATTTTGAATCCTAATTGCTTTTCAGAATCCAAGACTTATTGGCCTTTTGCAGAAAAACCCTTCCATCTATTCTGCTAATTTGTCATCACCCACTAGTTCCTTTTCCCCTGATTATCATACAGAAGGTCAGAAGCTACATCCTTCTGCAACACCATTCATGGGAAAAGGAGAGGTGCTGAAATCCACAACACGATTTTCATTCACAGTCTGCTCAGAACTTATCTGCAGTTAATGCATATTAAACACTCCTGTATGTGAAACACAACCATTGGAATATGTTGGCCTGCTCTCAAGAGTGCAAAGGAAAAGTTAGTCATGCACTTTGAGCTCCATTCTGCATGCATATATTGCTAATCAATATTTATTTTCTGAGGGGGAAAAAATAAGTTCACATTAACATAAGGAGTACTAAGCATATTTCTTTGTAGTAGGTGTGAAACTCATGTGTTTCCACAAATTCCAGAAGCATATAACACTAGCAGAGCATGGAAGGAACAGTCATTATTTCCTCAAATCAACAGTCATGCAGAAAATATCCTGCAACTGGGCAGAACTCTTCTCAAACAGATCTTCCAGAAGACCTGACTACCAAAATGGAACTGCTAAAGATCTTGCTTTTGACAGTCTTACAACTGTAAGAGATTTATATTACTTTTGCAAATATGAAACTTTAGCATGCATGTACAAACAAAATGTAATGAGCTGTACCATTAAATTTTGCATTTTTAAGAAAACTATACTATTGTAGTTATATGTTTCATAAAAACCGACCACATTATCCCTAATTATAATTAATAGTTAGAAAAAATGTTCTTCAATTCTTCATTTCCCGTTGACATTGGGTGCAAATGTAGAAAAGGAATATTACTGTTAACTTGAAGAGTAATTTCTTTTGTGTATTACCAGACTCCTCTGCCTCTGTAGAGAAGGTGAAAATGTAGAGAAGAAGAAGTGGTTTCCAGGTATCCATTTCGAAAACCTTCCTAGGGAAAAAAAAATCAAAGCAAAAGATATAAGAAATACAGAGCATAATTGTCTAAAAAAGAGACTTTTAATTCTGGAGGAATGGGATAAGTGCATTTTATTAACAACATGCAGGCTTTCTAGCTGTATGCAATTTAAAGCAGTACTTTAAATTCATAATTTTTCCCCTTAGTTTTTAACATACAGGCTTTGAACACAGAGCTGTAGGAGTTTGACACTGATGTACAGCATATAACCAAAAGGAACTGTTAAATGCTTTGCTCTCACAATCATGCTTTGTTCTGATTCACACAGCTATATTTACCATGATCTAAAATTCAACTAAAAGCAAGCTATTCACAGTGCAAGAGTAATGGGAGTTATGCCCTTAAGATTCCCTTCTAGCCTTGAAATTTCCCATCCCCACATCAATTTAAAGGAAAACTTGGTGGTGTTATCTATATATGATACACATAGATAAGAACAAGCACTCATTTACAAATGAAATACACCAGTGGACCAGTAATAAAGACAGTTGTCATAGAAAAAATGGAAATACAGTATAAAAATCTCCCAAACGCCAAAACTCAGTGCTGTGGATAATGGGAATGAAAATCTCAGAAAATACAAAATTAAGGCATGCTGAGCTTAAGCACACTAAACAAATGAGAACAAAACAGCTTTGAATAGTTTTCTATTCTAGGACACAAGCACACTTGATTCTGACTTTAACAACTCATTGCACTGTTTATTCTGTGTCTTAGATCTGCAAAGACAACTTAGTAGAAAGACTACAGCTGGTCTAACATTACCGCACGGGCCTCAGTCCAGGTTCTTAGGGTAACAGCATGTAATATTACCCTGGGTCTTGAAAATAACAAAAGGCAATGAATAGAAATTATCTGATTGAATCTATATTCTAACCTCAGGCAAGAGCAAAATTTCATTTCCAAGTATTGCCACACCAAGCTGCGCTGAAGTTCTTGAAGAGTTCTTTGCAACCCTTAGGGGAAAAAGCACCACATTTCCTATATCTCAAGGCATTTATCAGATACTGGCACTTTTCACTTTTATTACAACTGCAGTAACACAGAAATTCCTGCTGCAACTGAGGTCCCTATGCAACCAAAGAGGTTCTAGGTATTATGTAGTCCTCAACAAGAACAGACAGCAATGCTGGGGTTGGTGCATTGAGAAAACCTCCTTCATGCCTCTGCACACCACAATTTTCTTCCATAAGCATTACTAACATAAAGGAAACTGTTTTGTAACCATTTTGCATGCTATGTCCATAATTAAATTTTGTCTTGGATTTAATTAATTTTTCTGCATACATTCCTGAAAGTTAATGAATCTCTTAAGAGCTCCCCTTGATCACTTTGACAGAGATTTAATCCTGTTATCTATTTTCACTACTACACCTAATTATATGAGCCTATTTTTTAGATGCTAATAAGCTAAAACTTTATACTGAGAGACAACTAAATATTTTAATGGTAGTGCCAAAAAATAATAATGATTTCTAATTTGCATTACAGTGTTACACAGTTCCTGCTTTGATAGCACAGTTATTATGCCAGAGCAGCATTAACACCTTGAACTCTCCTGTTTGAATAAATTGCACACAGATCTACAGACTCAGCTAGATATGTACATATTCAAAGGCAGCTAAGTAAGCTGCTGCCAGTATTTCCAAAGCCTCCAATTAGTGTTTTGCTCTAGAAATTTCCATGACTATGAGTATGTGAAAAACTCAAGAGCACCAAATAGCAGCAAGCTTCTAAAGTATATGTGGCTGCTCACACTGAGATGAATAAAATGCAGTTGGTGTTTTAGCACGGGGCTAGACTTTCCTCAAATTTGTAAATATTCGGATATCATACCAAAATCTAGCTCTTGCCATCATAATATATAAAATAATCTGAGACTGTTTAACCATGCATCTATTTCCATGCCTCCCCACAGCTGTGGTCTCTGCCTCCTTTAGTTTCCTCCAGCCCCACAACTCAAGAATGTTCCTTTAGAATGTTCCCAATTCTTCAGGTCAGATACCCAAGACCTGAAAAATCTTTCCCACTCTTCCTAAACAGTGCATGCAGATGGGAACCTATTTATCACTTGCTTTGGTTTTCCCTTAATTAGTCCCTACTGACATCAGGCAGCTTCTTTAAATATACAGAAGTGCTGCAATTTAGAAACGTGTAGACTGATTCTCCTACTTGTACTATTTATTTTGCTTTATCTTCACTACAAAATTCCAACCATGTACTACAAACTGCACAGACAGAGGTGCTTTAGGCCCTCTGTGTGTATTCTTCATTATTTACTAATGCAAAATGAGAAGTAATTTAATGGAAAATTCAAATCATACAGCACACAGATACTATGGATCAAACCTAGATAGACTGTCTCAGAAACATGCAGTGCTACAGAGCATTACTCTGGCAATATCTTAATTCTAAAATGTATTTGAATGTAAACTAGTATATACAAGGTCTTAGCATAAGGTACTTATACATGCACATCTGTAGTTGCTTATATAAATATATATATAAAGCATAATTATGCAAGATGCTAAGGCAGCAATTCTCCAAAATCTAAGACATCTTTCCACTTTAATTCTATATTAGGAGATTAAAGCTGAAAGTTATTGAAAGTCCTTAGAAGACAGTATAAAATGATACATATTTTAAAGCTCATTTTACTGCCAGCATTTTTACATATTTGTTCCCAGATATACACACACATCTATATATATACATGTAAATCTCAAAGGAAGTAAAATATCAACAGTACTCCTGAGTCCTTTAAATACTTCACAAAGATTACTTGCCCATATATTTTATTTTTCTTTTTTAACCAACTAATGTCCCACTCTTATCTTCAGCTGCTTCAATGTTTTAGGCAGGTAAAAAAGGATTTCTGTAGATTTTTGCTGCCAGAGCCAAATGCACTCTCAAATGATAATATGCTTCTTAAGCACGCTGTCAAAAGCATGGAGATCTTGAAGCAACATCTCTTTTTCACATATGATTTGTAAGCATCTTGCATACAGGATTCTCCCTGCACACTTGACTGGGAATATTTTCCTTTTTGTGTTGATATACACTAACAGAAGGAACACAATTTTCCTTCTTTTAACTTAAACTCCCATCTCTACCAGTGCAAATAAATGTGATCACGTAGTTTTCTCCTACCTACTGAAGTACTCCAGTTAGATTACTTCAACTTCTACATGCTGATTTCATTCCTTCTGAAGTTTTTGAAATAAGACCAAGTCCTGGAATACAGGGGAGAGAAAGCTTCAACTTACATGCCCCATTTAGTTATTTCTTTTCTCCACCATCTCCTTTTCTCTCAGTAAAGCAAATTTAAAGTCTGGTTTTAAACTGCAGAATTTCCTGGTTTCACCAAACAGTATAAGAGTAGGAGTCCATCCTACCCTACAGCTCTCCTCATGTATCCACGTATTGAACTTTAAACACTGAGAAATCATAGAACCAGAAGAAAGATAAATGTTGCTGTAAGCATAATGCAAAATACTTTCTAGGTGCCAGTTCTTCATGTAAAGGAAGAAAACTTTTTTTTTAGTTATCTCTTCTCTACAGCCACATATTTTTTCCTACAAGTACATTTCTCTTTTTGTTAGCGCTGAAATGTCTCAGGAAGAAAGTTGCTGCTTTACTCATCGCAGGTTTCCCAGAGAAAAAGGAGTTTCCTAATGATTCCAAGTATAATCACAGGGCCAGGCATTGATTCAAGAAAGGAGACCCTGGGTGACTTACCTGAGTTGAGAAGTCATGAACAACATGAGGATCAATATGGTTCAAGGAGTGGTTTTGCTTAGAAGGACATGCAGACACAGCTGGAAAGGACGTGGCCACCAGGACAAGAACACCCCCACAGACAGAAGTAAGTACAGACACGCACACAACCAGCCCATGAGGAGTCTACACCCAGTCTTATAAGGAAAACTGACTGACACTAAAAATCAGTTTCATTTACTATCAAAATCAGTGTCTGCCTGTCTGTGAGTAAATGAGATGGATGTTTACTTGCCAATTTTATTTTAAAGAATGAAGAGACAAAACAATTTTCCATTGCAGTATTTGGTGCACCTTTTATAAGCCTATTGCATATTTTTCCATATATGAGTAAAGCCTAGTAATTAGCATGTTATGATCCTGTAAGTAATTTCCTTATCATTCATATTTCTATATTCCTGATGGTTTAAACAGAACAAATTGCAATAAGCACACATTAACAAAATTTTATAAGTAGACCCTGGCATACTGGCAGTCTCAAACAGTTCTTAACCTACCATGAAATTAAAAATAAAATTACAGTTTCTCTCTTCAGTCCAGAAGATTCCTCAAAAACAAATCTGTCAGAGAGCCCAGCTATTTTTGACATCTCCATATCTGAAGTAACCATACCAAATACCATATATATAACCATAACCATAGTGTCTCCTGAAGTTAAATGTGTTGAATGTATCAAGTACATATGTATATTCCCTTAGGATCAGGACAATTCCTTGAGAAGTCCTGAGGATCCTCTAAAAAATCTCTCTATTTTACACCTTTCCTTTGCTCAGCATGAGCAACCTGCAACTCCCACAATGCGTGATAATGAGACATGCAGAGCTATCCTTGCTCCCTGCCAGGCGTCAGAAGTAAAAACTCGGTAAGACTCAGATAACAAATTTTCTCAGTAAGACTCAGATAACAAATACGTTGCTTGCCCCAACTCCCAGTACTTTGCTTTCGGGAAATCTTCACTGAAAAGTCTGTGGTTTTTCCTCATAAAGATATTTTTAACACAGAATAAAATAAAACAAATGGCTGAAAACCTCATGAGTTGAAAATTAAATCTAACCAGAATACTTACAACATCTAAGACCACAGTTAGCTATTCTGAGAGCCTGATAAGCTTTCACTTCCTCACACTGAACACTCTGTAATTAGTTATTTACTAATCACACCTTAATTTAAACTACTATATTCAGTTGAAATTAATT